TGCAACCACCAGGGAAACTGACTCAGACACAAGACACCTCTGGCCCCAGGGAGAAATGCATAACGTTCAGGTTTCGCAATCCACTTTTGTAAGATGACGACACAAACGCACAGGGCCATGTGGTCTCTGTGGCGCAATCGGTTAGCGCGTTCGGCTGTTAACCGAAAGGTTGGTGGTTCGAGCCCACCCAGGGACGACAGTTTTTTCTTGTAGTCCCACCTTCAATTGTAAAAGTAGCCAAACGACCACTACAACGGTCACTGGTAAACAATGGGTCACTATGACAATGGGGGATGGGCAAAAGCAGAAAAGCAAGCACGGGAGAGTGTCAGCATGGCTACGGATAATCACATTAGTTTATAAATTTCCTTTGTAAAAGTAATGTATGCATAAAACTGTAAAGAACCAAAAAAAAAAAAACAAACAATAGATTGCTGCAGCTCACAGCCGTAGAATCCCATAAACATACATTGAACTGTTCAGTCTTTCAGGCATTTCCATATTTACATGTAAGCTGTTTTAAAAATTTCAAACAGGTTATGCCAAGAAAATCACAAACTGGACCTCATTAGCCACTTTAACCCCTTTTCTATTATTCTGTTTTTATAGACTTAGTTTACTGTTTTACAGCTTGTTGTGATTTGGTGTTTTGTTTCTTGCTGCTGTATCAAAATAATTTCCCAGGTCTGGGATAAATAAAGTATTTCTATTCTATTCTATTCTAAATCTATTATTCATTAAATGTAAGAACAGTCTGAAGAGAAAAAAGAAAAAAGTAGTGCGCCCAACGTGGGGCTCGAACCCACGACCCTGAGATTAAGAGTCTCATGCTCTACCGACTGAGCTAGCCGGGCAGCTGGAAGGACTCTCAGGGGTGGGGCTTAAGAAGAGGCCAACCCCTGAGCTAGCGCTTTGATGATGACTTACTGATTCATGCTTTACAACACATGGTTTACATCCTCTCATGCTCTGACTGTAATTTCAATGACTAAACTAAAACACAACCTATAACTATCACACATCTCTCTGCACCACACTATAATTTATAAATGACAAGAAGCAACATACACTTACCAAAGTGTGGCAAAGGATCATAGACTTACTGCTGCCTGCAGTGTAACTATGTGGCATCTGTGCCACTGAAAATACATCTCACACACCGAGCCACTGATAACAAAATATTTTCTGGAGATATGACAGATACAGTTTCAGATAGTTGGTGTAGTCGAACACTCAGCTTTCTATGCTGCAAGTAAAAGCTGTTACCACAAGGAAAAAGCTGTTTTATGTGCAGGGGTCTAGTTTGATAGTCTCTGATGCACCAACACTTACTTAACAAAAAGGTACACAGCTACACACACACACACAGCCGTATCCACAAAACCTGCACCACACCTCCCAAAGAAATCAGGTTGTTTCAAAAAGTGATCATCTGCTAAAAATTAATAAAGTACTCCACGTGAAAGGTGTATCACACAGTTCATGTGCCTAAAGCTGCTACTACTTGGATCCAACTGTCATAACATGCAAATACACATAAGTTTATTGCTGTGTTCACACCAGACGCGAGTAAAATCATTCGAATGATTTATATGTAAAGTCAATGTGAAAATGTGATTGTACATGAGTACACGTCCCGCGGTGCGAAACGCGCGAATAACGCGGTGCAAATGAGCAACTTATTCAAGCAAATGACGCGATTCTCGCCACATTAAATGTGCAAAAAGCACGTATGGGGCAAATATGTGTTGGATGCGAAAGTTGCAAAATCTGAACTTTAGCAATCATTCACGCCGCGATTCTCTGGTGACGTCAAGAACATGATTCATTTATTTTTTTGCAACTACACCGTGAATATTGATTGATTTACTCACCTGAGACAGATGGACAAGTGCTCTGCAGCTGGGACAGATTGCCTGTGTTCTGGTACCGATCCTCTCCAAAAGGTCGTCAAACTGGGTCCAGATCAGCCAAAAACAGCACTGGAAGCGGTCGTCATCCAGGTGCAGCTCCTGGATAAGGTGGTGGAATTAGCTACGAGCAACTCTGGAGGATCTGATCAATCCAGACACGGCGGTATCTGGACTCCAGACACGAATCTCGCCGCATTAATCGTGTGAATGACGCAAATTATTCACGCAAATGAAGTGAGTAAACTCAGTGGATACCACGTCCAAAAATGCACGAATAGTGCAATGAATTTGTGTCTGGTGTGAACACAGCATGTCTGTTTTGACAGCAAAAGTGCATCTTTGTGAAACCTTAACATTTCTTATAAATTCATAATTTTGATGAAAATAATGTGCACAACACAATTAGGCCGGACAGTCAGGGTAACTATCAGCAATGCCATAACATGATTTGCAAATGGGGTTTATATTGTACATGAGGCAATTATCATCTGAAATTATCCTATGCACTGTATTACTTAAAATATAACCTATGTGAAAGAAATCAAGTCATTTTAATGCATTAATAGTTTATCTGCGACAACTAAGGAGTTGCGGTCACTTTTTGTCAAGTGGAGACTGGCATAATCTGAGTTCAAAATGTGGATTTAAGTAGGTTTGAACAACTTTAAAGAACTGAATTCTGGTTCTAATTTAGGGGACATAACAAGTAAAATTATGCATTGACACAAAGGTAATTGCTCCTATGCAGGGCTATCAGTTTTAGTGAGAAAACAGGGCCTCCTTGCCGGAGTCTTGCCTGATGTAGAAAATTGTGTGCGCCATCAACCATGTGCCCACCTGAACTCACCTCAGCTAGTTTTGACTGCACTTCCATTAACTCCATACTTCCTGGTCAGTTTTACACAGCATACTTTAAACACAGGAATCCAAAAAATTACCAAGTGGACGAAATATGGAAAATCGCCTTACTTAAAAAACAAACAAACATAACGCTAAATTAACGCTAAAGTAACGCCATGGAAACGGTGTAGTACAAGCTACCGCCATTAAGTGTGCAGCCAAGTGCGCTGTCATAGTTATTCTGCAGTTAAGGGCCACGCTGTTATTACTGTGACATTAACATTGGTATTTAACAAGAACACTATAACAGTTTATCAGAAACACACAGTTAAGGTTAATTACTTTACCTTACGTCACGTCGCAGTAATTTCTTCGTCGAAGTTAGAGCTTGACCTCACTGAGCTAGCTTACCACAGCTAGCTAGCTGAAACATCGAACTTTAGCTCGAAAAAACTTGGCGTTCGGTTCCAAAATCCAGTTGCCGTCATGGACATAAAAACTTGTCGAAAGTTACACTTTCAGTTCATGTTTGGATAAAACTATATTTAAACAAAGCTTGACGACGCTGACTATCGACGCCGTGTCCGCCCGTTTCCAGCGAGCCGTCTCTGTCCGTTTCGTCCGGGAGGTTTCATTTCAAGTGCAGAACAGGGGTGCGCTGTTCGGTTGAAAAAAATAAGTCTGCCACAAATGTCGTAAACCTAGACGAAAATAGGAAGATTTAACTTAACATAAATATGTATTTAATCCTTTCTTTGTACTTTCAAAAAGCGTGTCTTGTTTTTGTAGTTTTCTTTTGCACTATTTAGCTGTGGGCACACCTGTGTTGCAGAGATAATTGATCCCGACCCCGGGCGTCGTCTCCTTAATTGATCTTAATTGAGCTGCTTATTACACAACAGTGTGACCAACATTGCATTAGTTATAGATACAAACACACACAGTCACAACATTTACATTTACAAGTTTTCACGTTTGTTATGTAAATGAAAGTAGCAGTGACATCTCAAAACCAGACATTTCAAATAAAAGCTCTCCAATCAAATGTTTATTTCAGTAAAATAGCTTCAGTAAAAATACAATGCATGTTTTATCAGCACACTGGGGGCTTAACCCAGCTTAGCAATCTTCAGACTGTAACCCGATAACTGTTCCATTTTCAAGCTATTTTAGAGTGAAAAATATATAATATGTGGGATTATGTGTCTTGGCAAAGTAAGGTCATCCTATTTTCTTCTATGATTAACCCATGTTCCACATTAATATCAGAGTTAGTGCAGGCTAGCTATATTAAAACGACTGCCTTGGAATTAATCTTATGTATATGATTTACACAACTCAAAACACATATAAAGGTATGCCTTGCAAATACTTGTTTCTAACATTTATTTTTAATTGCATTTTAGGTGATTGATCCCTTATACAGTCGGGAAGAAAAGCTGGTACTGGTGAGGAGAAAAGGTTTACCTATAAAGTCCTCTAACACAATACAAAATAAATAAAGAAATACATAATAAAGATCAGAGCAAAACTGTTGAGTGTGTTGCTAACGAAAGATAAAAAGTTCTGTCCATAATCTGATGATAACTTATTTAACCACAGCAGCTTGCAATAAAACTATATAGTTATGGTACGCATCCATAAACACAGTCACTGCTATGAATATCCTGTTGTGGGAATATGAGAAGGAAAAAATCTGCCTAATAAAATACTTTATGTGACAGAAAAATATTTTTGCTTCAGTGAACAGATCTCAGTAAAATAATAGCCCAAATTTTTAAAACATCGTATTATTTTTGAGGGCTCTACCACATCACCTGAATGACAGATGACTAGATCTAGAACTATATATATAAAAAAAAGCCTACTATTATAAAAACTAACAGATAATTATGCTTACCCACAGTGGGTCTCTGGATAAATCTGACATAGTGATTGACAGGGGGAAGAAGAATTATTTTTATTCAGTTCTTTGTTGTTATTGTTATTATTTTTACCTCGTCAGGCTTTAAAATCTTTCCCTGAGCTGCTTTAAACTGATGTTCGCTAAGACCACGACCTGCTTAACTGAGAGGTCACACAAGCCACAGGGTGAGTGTATTAGAGAAAAGCTGCAGCATTGTAGTTCCGGGTTCCCTCCACCAGGCGGCGCTGCTACACTACAACAACGTAAAGCTGCAGAGAGAAGCTGCTGTTTTAAAGCAGCTGTGACCGTCACTCCTGAGCAGTGTGGAGAGGAAAGAGGAGCGGGTCGGTTGACCAGCAGAGCATTTATTATATATAACCATCTGTAATAAATCAAGAGATAAACAGGTTGTGAGCAGAGAACGAGGGAGCCGCGACCACACCACGTGATCAAATGCGGAAATTGTCCGATCGAGAAAGTAAGCGGAGGGTTCGGTGTCCACTTGTGTTTGGAGCTGCTGCTGTCACTAGCTGCGTGTATCCAGCAACACGGACGCACGGTTTTACGACCCTGGCCTGCTGTGAATGAAGTGAGGTAAGTGAAGCTTTATGGACAAAAAAAGCAAAACAGTGTGCGTGTGTGTTGACAGTTACCGCGGCAACTTTTTAGGGAACAACCCAACAGACGCGTCGCTGGGATCTTCAAACATCAGGGGATTCAGATCAGCACAGAAATCTTCACATCCAACCTGGTAATTGAGCAAGTTTCAAGTTAAAATGAACAGAAATTGTGAGAAACTCTGCTCAAAGTCAGATCACTTTGTTTCCGTGCTTAGCTCATGTTCTGCATTAACACCACAGAGTGCAGGCAGCTACACCACACTGTGCCTTAGAATTAGTCTTATTTATAATGATGCACAGCTAGTCATATGTAAAGGTGTGCATTGTGACTGAAACCACTGAGCCAGACGAGAGTGGGCAGTTGTAGCTACCAGCTGGAGTGAGATCAGTAGATCTTGTGTGTTGATAATACTCATTTTAGTTTTTAATCATATTTCTGTGTAGTAGTTTTTTGGGGTGCCGACCCTTCACATAATCCAGTGGATGGGAAGCAGGTGGTGGTGAGGAGAAAAAGTTTATCCATAGTCCCAAAACAACCGAGTTAAAGTGACAACAAGGAAAAGAAAGATTTAAAGACAAATCAGTTTTTTTTTTTTATCTTGACACATTGAGGTCTTTGTCAAGCCCAGAAATCTTTAAATTTAACCGGATAATTGCACTATTTTCAAGTGGTTGTGTTGTAAAATCAATATACAATGTGTGCTCTCTGCATAGTAAGGTCAGCCCACATTAATGTCACAGTTAATACAGGCCAATAGACCAAACTGTGCCTTGGAATTAGTCTTTTCCACTCGAATCATATGTAAAATCATGAATTTTATAGTAATTTGTGTGACTGCTCCTTTAAAAAGTCCAGAAAAACAGATGCACATGCTGATGAGGAGACTAAGTTTAAAAGCCTCACATGTGCCTCATTGTCTTCATGCGTTTTGAAAATGCTCCTTACATCCTCGCCTTCTACCAAATTAGTTAACGAGCTACCACCAGATACCGACGATGACGAAGCCCTGTGACTGATGTGCTCTCTCTGGTGCTCACGCGAAATGTCAAAGTGCCAAGTGGTGTGAAGTAGATCTGCTGCCTAAAGAACACACAGAGGACTGAGAACATAGACTGCATGTGTTTTTGATGTCATTGTGATGGGCTTTACTGCATGATCAGAATGACAGATGAATAGATTAAACAAATAAATAAAAAAATAAAGATCCAGAGCTATTTATAAAACGTTTGAGTCTATCTCTACTTAGAAAGGATGGGCCCACATTACTAGACTGCTTGTGTTAGGCAGCATCTAGATTTATGTTTATGTAGCTCATAGTGTGTATTTCAATAACATTAGTTGTGTCTGATTACACAGTGTTTCACGAGTATCAAACATAATCACGCTGTTTCCTGTATGCACTGTTGACTATTCCTCTTCTCACTCACAGTATTGTTCTGTTTTGATGTGTTGTTTTGTGTTGATTTTCAGGTCATGTTCAATCCGTGTCAACTTTAATTTTTTATTTTGTGCACAGCAAACAACAATGTAATGTGTAAGTTTTGGTCATCTAATTGTTAGACAAAGTTGATTATTACATGCTAGTAATTAGGATGACAGTGATTATTCAGTTAATCAGTCACTTGTCAGCTTATAAATGAATCACCAACTATTTTGTTTATTCAGTTTGATAGATTTTTGTAGAAGAAAGAAAAACTCCTTGTATTCTACCTCCTTCAGTGTGAATATTTTCTGCTTTCTTCACTCCTCTGAGACATTCAAGTGAATATCCTTGAGCTGTGGACAAAACAAGACACTTGAGGTTATCATCTTGGGCTCTGGAAAACACTCATTGACATTTTTTAAACCATTTTTTGACATCTTATAGACCCAACAACTCATCAGTTACTGGAGAAAATAAATTTTAGCTGCATCCCTGCTAGTAAGGTTACGACTGATGTTAATAGTGCTACTGGGATGCTGGTTTATGAGGAAACATGTTGCTAAAACTAATGAGCTGAAATGCAAAAGCACTGCTGACTCCTAAGAGACGTTAACCAGTGATTCACTTTTTATTTTTTGGCATTTTTGCCTGAAAAAGAAAAAAAACACTGTTGCATATCATCATCCTGTTGATTGACTATGAGCCAAATCCCTGCTTGTTTACACTCTTATCACAAAATCCACAGGATATTGGCTGATCCAATCAAGCCTCGTTGTAATATTGCACAAGTTTAACAGCAGAATAAAACAGTATTAACTTTATAATTGGCTACGTTTCCTTTGACTCCCATCACGTTGCTTGTGTCACGCAGTGGAGAGCAAATCGCTTTCCGAAAATAACTTGCGTTCAAAGCAGGAGGCGAGTACCTGTTGCTGCTCTCTGTGGCATCTGCAATTTTAATTTGTCCGCCGCGGCACAGCGCTCAGGGACGGAGCAGACAGTAACAAAGCCTGGCTGAGCTTCGCCATTTAAATGAGGTGGTCATGCATGTGAATGAGGTTCAGAGCTCACACCCTTTGAATGTCACTGCAGAAGACAAAGGTGTTTATGAATCCACCGAGTGAAAGTGCAGCAGCAGCTTCATGACTTATCGATGCTACTAATTATGTTGACGAGTAAGTAGTTAATAACTTTGCTGTGTCATGGATGACGTTGCATATGTAGAGAATTAATCACACATGTTTGTATGCGTCACTTATCCAAATGAACAGCATCGGCCCAGTAACGGCTTTCTACACAACTTAATACCCTCCATACCTGATGTTCTTCAACGTTCTGTTAAATTCTTCACCACTGCAGCGTAAACTTGAAGAAAAACGTAGATTTAAAAGATAATCTGAATCGTTTTTTGCGCAGGTTTTACCATCATGTCTGTGAAATATGATAATATAAACATTCCAAATTATGTACTTACGCAAGTATTGCAGAGATCTGGGAACATTTCGACAGCATAACAGCGAAGTCAGACAGTTCAAGAAACGCAGTCTTACTCAGAAGATCTGACAGATTGTGCAGAAGCCAAGAGTTTAACCAGATTATCAAAAACTTGGCCCATCAGGACGTCTGTAATGATTCCTCATTAGACAGAAAAACTGAGCACATGGTGTGCGAGTACAGTGGGTCAAACTGGAGCAAAGTAGTTGCTCTGAAACTTGATGGATTTTTATTATGGGCTTTTTTTTTCTCCTCCACATAAGTTTCGCAACCTGTGTTTTGTTTGATTGTGCAACCGCTTGTGTTATTTGATCCAGTGGATCAACTTTGGGCGCACAGTCTGAATATTATGAATAGTGTGACTATGACAATCCAACAGGTATTATCCTTCAGTAAGCTGCCTGCAGTGGTGCTGCTATCTGATGTGACAGCGATCACATCAAGCATTTATGAAAACACTTGTAAGCTTGTAAAATTTAGCAAATCTGTTTTGTTTCTATCCAGTTATCCATACTTTCATGTGTCACACCACTGCTTTCGCAGCTGGAGGCGTGTGAATTTGAATCCCATCAGTGGTTTTCTAATCATAGCGACCCATTTAGGTGCTCAAAACAGCACAGATATTTTGCACTTTTAAAACTGGATCACCCTCTGATTTCGCAGAACTCTCAGTGGATGTGACACTCTAAGTTTTCTGCTCCACAATGGTACTAACTTTGCTCAAGAAAAATGTCAACTTTCGCGTTGACTCAAGACTTGCTGCAGCATCATTTCTAGCCTTGGCTAAACTAAAAGAAGGAAGGGGTGAACCGCAGTGGGTTCTTGGGGTCATTGTTGTCACAGATGTTAGTTGTTCCTGTTAAATGTATAAAATGAACACTACAGAATAGCAGGATTCTAAAAACAAGGTCATACGTTGTTGCACAGGGGCTATTTTGAACAGGAACATTTCCAAGGTCCTGTTTGGACTCCAAGCATCTGATTGTTGATGTGTCCATGCAGTAACATTGCTTTTGTCAAACTTGGATAAAAAGAGTTGTGTGTACATGTATACTTGAGCCACATCTGTCCTCTGCTTATCTGAGCTGGGATCAGATATTATCATGGCTTACAGAGCGATGGAAGGCAAATTAAATTGAATCATCTTGCAGTCCATTGCAGGCTGCTTTGGCTCTAAATTGAAAACAATGTTGGAGCATCACACAGCAGCCAGCACAGCTGTGTCGGGAAACCAGTGCAAAAAAATTAGCTGCTAGATGTTTGTTTATGGAGAAAATTCTGCTTTATTCTCAAAGGAACAAAATGCTCCCAGGTCCTCTCTTCTGGAAACATCATCAACGTCCCTCTTTGGTGGTCGATTTAATCCCTTAAAGCTCATCTTCATGTGTCCAAGTTACATATTTACAAGTTGTTTTTTCAAGAAAATAACCTCTTCTAGCCTTTAAATGACTTAGATGTCATGTTAGTTGCTCTTTGTAGAATGTGCTGGTCGATGCAGTCCACAGCGTTCTTTCGGCACTCTGCTCACACACCAGCTCACCTATGACTCTGTTCAAACCCCTTAAAACTACCCTACACAATGACAAGTCACAATATTGGAGTAATTCAGCTACGCATGCTCATTCTGAAGAATAATGATACAGAACCTGCAAGTTGACTGGATTGGTTTTTTAGGTTTGTTACGTATAAAACATTGGAAAACCAAATCTGCGTTTTTGAGCTTGTCCTTGGTGCACCACAGTTTGGCTTATTTTGCTCATGATGCATATAAAATTACAGTACATATATATATAAAACAAAACACCATTCAGCCACGTTAACAAGGTAAACAACATCTAGATGTTCGTGCCTCCGATATGGAAAGGTGTGCAGTGAACGTGTGTGAGAGAGGATCTTTGTTCTCGCTAATCGAGCGAGTAAAACAAATGTGTGGAAGCGATGGAAACACATAAAAAGGATTGTTTCAGCAGCGCTATTTAAACTTGGCACTCACAAGCTTCCGAACTTTCAAGCTCCTCACAAAGCCCCAGTAGGCATGCTTTTGTACTAATAATAGCATTAGTTGCTGCCCCAACTCTTGTGCTAACTGTGGAGGGATTTAGCAGACTTTGCATTTTTTATTTATTTATTTTTAAACCTGTGTCACTATAGAGCAAATATTCACCACAGTTGCCTCTTCTGGAAACATTAAGGAGAATATGTAATAATGGTATAAGTTCTTTGCGGTCACCTGGTGTTTAATGTTATGTAATGTCATTGCTTTGGAGAAATCCATCAGTGTGAGCATGTGTTGGTTATTGTTGTATAACAGGCAGTTCTCTTTTGACTATTATCAGGACACTAGATTAAATAGATCTGCCCACTATCTGTTTCAGTTTCTACATTTTCCACCACACTGCGTTGGTGCATATATTCTGTATGTCCATATTTATAACAAGCACTTCCCAGAGATGTGATGAACATTCTCCATCTGTGCAAAGCCCACCAACAGCAGCTTCAGCCCCTAGCTAATCCTCTTAGACCGTTTTGTTGTTTTCCTTTAATTGAAGTCTCTGTCGGGAGTCTCTCGTACTCCTGGCTTGACTAGTATAGCACAGCTGTGCTCTCAGCTGAAATATGGGCTAACCGGAGGTTGTGGATTTAGAAAGAAAACCACCCTGAGAAGCCACTGTGCCGAGCTGTTACTTCCCTGTTTTACTTCTCTCACGTGTACAACTTTTTTTTTTCTCCCCCCATCCCCCAGTGCTCATCTGTTGATCTAATCATTCCCTATTGTTTTCAATATCTCTCAGTATTGATAAATGCTTCTCTCTGATCGTCTCCTCTGTCCTAACTTGTTTTGCAGGGGTCGCGTTGAGGACAGACTGTGGCGATGACAAGGCTGTGACGGTGTGTGTCTGAACTGGACCAATTCCTGTGACATGGCTGCTGCTAAGAAGCGTGAGTTTTTATGATCATATACATTGTCTTTTGTAATGACTGTTAAGCTCAGGAAGTTTCCAGATCTCAAAAAGTAGTCGTAGATAAATGTGACTTCCAACCAATTTTAAAATGCAGCCAAAAAAAACTCTTGAAATGTATATTTTCTTTTGAAAATTGCAGAAATTACACCATTTACCATTGCAGAAACTGTATTTTTAACTTTCTGGCAGTCCTTGAATGTCAGGAAACTTAACCAAAAATAAGCTTAACGTATTGGTATTTCATCGAAATTACTATTTTCTACATGTGTCGTTCAAAAAATTTCCCAAAAAATTCAAAATAGATCATTAGCAACAGATCATGTTAGAAGAAAAAAAAAAGCAGCATGGTAAACTATGTTAGGCTTCTTCAAATAGCCTTTCTAAAGCATGTGGATGATAACACATGTGAGCACTTGGGATATATTGGTTTAGTTTTTGTTTCAACTCTGGTAAAGCTAATAATCAACCATGTTAAACTTTGTTATTTCACAAGTAAAACATATATATATTGAGTTATATAACAAACACACCTTTGAGTTCTCTCTGCTTATATCCATGGTTGTCCTGTTTCCATAGAGTTGCAGGACTTTTAAAAAACAGCCAGACTCTGCTCGGTGTTCAGAGGGTTAAATTAGAGATACCACTTTAAAGAGCCAGCGTGTTGATATTCAAGATGTGGGCAGCCCAGGCTAGCCCAGCATTAAAATGTATTAGTCTCAGGATCAAGTGCTTCTGTTTGAAGTTCTACCGAATAAATGAATCAATAGGCTGCAAAAAGAAACTGCATAGATGTGTTTCAGGGGAGGTGAAGGAGGTACTGCGGATTTCTACCACATTCAGTGTCTCTTAAAAGGCAGTAGCTGTTGCAAGAAATGGAGGGTAAAAAAAAAAAACAGGGTGACAAATTGTTAATTGTAATTTATTGTACCTGAGACCCCCAGATTGCCCTTTTCACCAACCTGGAGGCACTGTAGGAAGGATAATCAATTTGATTTAAATGCAGAATCGATTTTCCTTTTCCACGTGTGTCTTGGGAAAAGGGTGTGTCAGTGTCAGCAGCTTTGCGACAAATTTTTTGTTGAGGCAAGCAAATGTATTTCCTCAAAAGCAGGAATCACTTCATAGAAAAAAAAAGCAACAACCTGGAAACGAGGCTTGCAAAAGAACAATGACTGATTACGTTTTTATTGCTCCCACACCGCTTAAATAAGCGTCATCTCCTCCTCAGCGCAGTACTTGTCTTCAAGGACTACTTTGCGAGCTTTGCTGTCTTTGATAAGGTCACTGGATGATGGCTTGTGCAAAGGGAGCGTCCCTGTTGACGTCCTGTTGATGCCATTTTACAAAGTGCATGTTTTATGTGTCGGTGATGGACTGAAATGTCACGGTAGGAGTGTTTGGAAGCAGGTAGAGACAGATCTATGTTGCCAATTTTGGAAAAATAAACTCTGAAGCGTAGATTTGTACAATATTCAAGTAGCTATTAAGATTAATGACACTTTGATGTTGGAAAAATATGAATACAAAGATTTTCCAGGTTTATTGACAACCTCTCCCAAGTGGATAATTTGACAACAATTACTTTGAGTTTCAAGGGGATAAACAGAGCATTTAGTAAAACACTGATATGGCAGCCAGCTGTCATAAGGCTGTAAAAGCAGCACAGTTTCTCGTATTTATTTTATACAGGAACATGCTCACCGGCTCTGAAGACACAAGTAAAGGAGAAGACGTCTAGACAAAGACGAATGTGTGCAATCTCACCCACAGCAGTGTACTTCTAACAAAATTGAATTTTTACACAAAGACTGCAGCCAAATGTGGCAATATGAGTAAATACTGTGGTCCCAGGTGTGTTTCTGTTTTTGTTGATTTCACCAGGCATTCAAGCTCGGGATCTGCAGTTGAAATGGCTTATCAAAACAACAAAAAGGCAACCTAGAAAGCACATGATATTTTTTAATAAAACCTCACAGCACGGCTGATCGCTTGCAGATAATGACGTGTCAGACCCAGCCTGCAAATGTTGTATTGATCAAAGTCAAACACGGCGCTTCTTTTTGGTCCCAAACCTGCCAGCAGTAGACTGATTACCGTACTGCTACAATATTCAGCAGGGCAGAAACAGATACACTGACAGACAGATTAGTGAAGGGATAGAAGTGGATGTAGATTAATCTGAAATAAGCCAGTTGAGCACGTCTGCATGTTAATTTATGTGTGAACATGCATCTGTGTGCTTAGTGGTCTGTCGCTGAGAGGGGAAGTGTAGGTGTCACTGTGTCTGTGCTTATATAATGTTGTGGAAATGAGCCAGAAGTAGAGGTCTGACCAGGAGCTCTACTACCGCATCGATTTATGTGCAAGAAATTCAAATACAGATATAATAGCTGTGCCAAATAGATGCTCATTTAAATATTATGCAATGAACACTGTGGATGTGTGAATGCTTTAGCTTCTGCTGCATTACACACCTTAAAACCAAGAGCTTGTGTTTATTGGTCTTGTTAGGTGGAGCTATCGTTGAAGCAAATTACAGCTGCGTCAGCTAAGAGAACTTTGAGGACAGGAAATGGTTTTGATGCTTACGTTCTGCAGCTGCACTTTCTTACTTTCTCTTCTCTCTGACAGTAGTTGACACAGAAAAGACATTCATCTTTACTTGAAAATACATAAGATTGAATTGGTTCTGAAGCAGAAGTTTTCGTTCAACTAAAACAGTATCTCGTCGTGGTGTTGTGTCCTCAATAATGTGGCAATTTTCTCCCATCAAAAGTGGTACAGATATTTTTCAAGGTATTCTATAAAAGTTACAAATTCTAATGTCGTAACTACTACACTACAGAGTTCTGGAAGTTCTGAAGCTTCAATAGGCATGCAACTTTACATTTAAATTACCAGTATTAAAGATGAAGAGCTTAGAAGAGTTAGGAACTATCATTTTTTGGCAAACGCAGAAGCCTGTTTACAGAAAGTAGAGACATTGACTACGACTCATGATTAGGGATTGACTGATTCCAGTAAAATAAATAAATGTAAAAATTTGTCTCTGATGCAGCCGCCTGTTTTTATTTGCATTCACTACTCTGTGATCTTAAGCAATGTCCCACCTATAGCACTGTCTGATTGCATCACAACCAATAGCCAATCAATGCCAAAGCACAAATCTTGACAAGCTCTTTTAGTTAAACATGTGGAAAAAATAATTAAACAAAGAAATTTCTGTGACGTTTTGTGTTGGAGTTTGTGGTATATTACATTATGACACCAGGATTTTAATTTTACTGCAAATGCATATCAGTTCTAAATTTCAGGTATTGGTCTAGTGATTACTGATAATTGGTATCTATAGAAAAATCTGCATTTTTTTTGTAAGAACCATAAACTAAATGAGCTTAAAATTCACCTATCTGTGCTGATAACGGTAAAGTCTAGCTTCCTTTCCTTCATTGAGTTGTCTCCTGGATTGTGGTGATGGATTCACACCTCTAACTGACACAAAAAACAACATTCCTCATAAATAAAGATGGAATCATTCAGACTGATAGCTATAAATAGTTTTTCAATAATTAACATTTTACCAGAGAATGTGATAGAAGGGCTTTGATGTGATCAATACATAGAAATATTAACTCTCTATACCAATAATAAAACCCTTAAAGGACACAGAAAGCTGTTTAAATAGTTGTATGTATGTATTCTGTGTACCTGCAGTTAAAGAACAGCACAGTTCAGCCATATTGTTTTGAATGCATCTTAGAAGGTGAACATATGCTTTATTGTGTGAAAACATCTTCAGGGGGAGTTGGCAGCACTGAGCAGACCTGCATCGTGGCTGCTCTGCACAATCAGGTTGGCTGCAAGCACTTCTGCTGTACAGTACGTTTGTTCTGTCATCTGTCACTTTCTGAGCCATTCCTCTCTTTTTATGGAGACACAATGCATTAGCACAGCTGAACGGTGAGTTGCCATATTTCCTGAAAGTTTAGACAGACAAGCTGCAAATAAAAGCACACCTCTCTGTATAAGTACCATCTCTTGAAGCCATAACCTCTTAATTCTAACTGTGTTACAGTATAGAAGCTGTAATTATAAGACTAGTGTATGCCAAGTGAGTGTAATTACGCTGCCACGGAGCCCGGTTGTATGAACGTGGAGGCTTCATGGGAAAAGCCTCTTATAGGGGGAGTAGGAGCTTCAAATAATTGGTCCTATCATGTGATTTATATGATTAACTTAAAGCTTTAAGTCTCCATGTGGAGGTATTTTCTCCTCCACTCATATATATTACATTTAATTGAAATGGTTTGAGTGGAGTTGTTTTTGTTGCGTCCACTTTCTTTCTAACTTGACCACAGAATCACTGAGGACTAAATAGACCCAGCAGGTTCAATAATGTAGTGTCTCACTTCTAAAAGTTTGTCTTGGCAACAAAATTCTTCAACTGGGTCCGACTGAAATCACAACATCTCAAGGCCTGTGATGACTCAGAAGCTCTCACATTTGATCCCTTGCATTTGGAGCTGCTGCAGGACGTGTTTTTGTAGATATTGCTTTTATTTTCAATATAAAGGATGCTTCATGTCCGATTGGAGGTTCACTAAAAGCAGTGACATTTCAAAAAAATAGGAAACAGAGAGTAGAATATAACGGTGGTGCTGCCGACTGTGGCAACAAGCACTTTCCACCAAATGAAAGGGTGTCCAGTAAAACGGAGTAGCTGTGTGCTTTTAAAACTGATGCTTCTCAAGTGTTTTCAGAGATCTGTAGGGTGGCTTGTAATTAGAGGTGTGTCTGTCACATGTGCTTTACTTTGGTGATGCCAGACTGTCTCAGGTGAGTTAAACCTTTTAGCTGAAGGAACGACAAGTAAAACTAATCTAACTGTGTTACTTTTGTTAACACTCATACAATAATACGTCATAAATCAACTAATACATGTTAAGAAATGTCCCGTACATCATCAAAGGCTGCATTTGAACAGGGTTTAAATTCTAAGAGTGTGATTTTAAATCGTTTTCTAAAACCAAGTACAGTCGTGACTCGATAATCCGACACTAAATGTAAAACCTTCTTTTATGTCGGATAGCAAGGCTGTCGGATTGTCAAGACGGAGGTGGAGATAGAAGGAGGGCTTGATACTGGAAGGCTCATTAGTTGTTAATTATTGTTCATAGTTGTTATAATAACTACTGGTCCAAAAAGCACTTTCTGGGCTCAATTAATGATGAATATCAGAATATCCAGAGCGGTCGGGGGGACACTTCCACTCTGGAGGAGCGCTCCAACAGGGTGGAAGTGGCCAGAATGCACAGACAGTACTTGGCTGCTGATGCTAGTTTAGGATAACAGTCCCAGTTCTGTTTCCAGCATCGGTGGCGGCGGGGGAGTGGCTGATACGCTCCACCATTACCATCCATGTTTACTTCCATAAACACTGAGCACGCTTGCTACGTGTGACGTCGTCGTGTCGTCTTCTGCGCATGCGGGACACTTTTGGGTCGTATGAAGTTCACACAGCAGATCACATACAAGTCGTATTTAACTGGAAATGTGAACGAACTTCATGGATTTCACAAAAAAATCTGAATTGAGCATTAAGTCCTGCAGTCTGAACGTAGCCAATCTGTGGGATTGTTCAGTCAGATAATACGCCGTTGTCCTGATTTGTGACATAAAATGTCATGTCGGAGTCGGAATCCAAGGCTGTCGGTATGTTAAGGCTGTTTTTAATTGGGTTCCGTTCATTTTTCCTAAAAACCTGTCGGATAGCAAGGTTTAGGATTGTTAAGGGTCGGATTATCCAGTCTGTATTTATAATTTCCTTGTTTTATTTGTGTATTTGTTCAAGAATATTGAAAACCCAATGCATATATGGATGAATTTTATATGTAAGTGTTTTTTGTTTTTTTAAATATCTTGATTTGGGAAAGACTCCTTGTTAATCCTTTGATATGTGTTGAATTTCAATGAAGGCACCGAGTCGGATATCAAAACTCATTTTCAGATATTGACCTGCCCTGACTCTTGCCGTCCTTTATCTGGATTTGGGAGAGACTTTGGAGATCGCGCTGTCTAGGATCACAGGACTAATAAATTCTATTTAAAGCCAGTTTACATTTTGCTTATCTTGTATTTGATCTGCTGTTTTCTTTGGTTTCTAGAGTTTTGGGTATTAAGCAGCATTCCTCATTTTCAAGCCTCGTTTTCTGCACAGTGATCCTGCACATATGGAACATGATGTAACTCCCAAACTCATTATTGTGACCTAGATTGCTGATGGCAAGGATTTCTAATCTCTAATATGAGTCTGAATAAAAGTTTAATGGAACTGGACCCAGGTGGGACTGTAACGGCTTCATGAAGTGTAACTGCAGAAGTCAGTGTCAAGTTAAATGGGCTGCAGCAAAGTTAACCACAAAGTGCTTAAACCCTCTAGACATGAATATAAGTGATGTAGTGTATTATATGTTTTGCATCTCTTTACTTTCTGAGTTAATGACATGCAGTGTTTGCTGTTATTTTGGAATGAGAGATTCATTATCACAACATCATCTGTTCCTCTAGATAAATGTCTCGTCACTTCCAGATTCTGTTCTGTTCGCTCAGTAATTAATACAGATGGCACCAACTTCACCGGATCTTGGCTTGTTTCGACTTGGCAGAGAAAGTTATACATCTCTGCATTTGACAAAAAATATTGTGTTTGAACTATAGGATCGTTTCTGGTCCAGATATGAAGGGAAAGAAAAACCTCTGCCAGTAAATGTGAGGACAAGTTCGCTTCAAAGTTGTTTTTTTGGAAAAAGAAAGAAATCTCTTCAACTGTCAGGCTGGCAAGAAGCTGAAGCAAAGTGAATATTTTTAGTGAAGTTTATGTTAAATTACTTTTTGTACACCATCATCATATAATAAAACACAGTTTAGTTAAATCTTTTTAAAGCCAGTGTTGGACTTTTACATGAACGTTTGTGGAATTAAAGCTCTCAAAGCTAATAAACCCATAAACAGGAGGTAACTCTCTCTATTATGTAGTTTACCAACGTCTTAGATCTGATGTCTGGAGCCACATTGGCACGCTGGAAGGAAAGAGCAACCGGATCAATAGCCTCAGCGAACTTTTCCCATAATTAAGTCGTGCATTTCTGATGAAGTACTTGAAGCGATACACAGATATCCGTGTCTTCTGGTCACACGGGGTTTGATGAAGTTGGCAGATCTCAAGCACAGTTTTCGAATAATTGGAAGAATGATAATAAACAACATGTTGATCAGAAAGAGTGATGTTGAGTATGCTAATGTCAAACGTGCGCTCGAACACAACTCTTATCCAAAGAGTCTCTGTGGGAATTGTAATTCAACTAACGGACAAGGTCCAGTGCTTCTTAAAGGACAGCCTCCTATTAATAGAGTTTTTAATAAACAGCTTCTTACTTGTTGTACTGTTTGTGTGGATCTTGTTGTTTAGCTACTGTACATGTCGTACACAGTGTGGTTCTGGGAAAGTGATGCTCCAGAGTTAGGCTCAAAGCTCCTGGAGCAGAAATTCGGACCGAGTGTTTGTTGTCTCTGAGAACTGTTGTTTTTTCAGAGGAGGAGGGTTTTATTTGTGGAGCAAGTTTCCATTCTCTCACACTGTGAATGGATGCCTGGAGAGAAGGACAATAAATACGAGCAGCTCGGTGTCATGGGATCGCACTAAAACCTGAAGGGAAATAATGTGTTTAGCTTGCAAGCTTAAACGACTTTAACGCCTTTATTTTGGCACCGAGGTCCCACGATGTATGGGAGTCTGATGTGTGAGATCGCTGCGTTCGTCCTGTGGCAGGAGATATTTCTTTATGACTCAGGCTGTAACTTTGGGGTCTAATCCTGCAAAATGGATGTGGGACTCCCTGATGGTATTTTGTAATGGATAAGAAAAAGATCTAAAGTGCCTAAAACTTTAGAGGTTTCCTCCTTTTATTGCTTTTCAACACTGAATCATGGTCGATATAATTTGGCTTCTTTTTTTTTGGCACTTTAGACACACATTACTTTGTCAGGACTTTAAAAAAAAAAAAAATTCTTGTCAAAAAAAGCAAATTAAATCGACCATGATTCAGGAAAATGTCCCAGGAGGGGGAATGAATACTTTTTATAGCCACTGCAGTTGTGTTCCATGTGTGTGCCCTTGTGTGGACATTCACAGCTCCAGGAGCGACTAAAGGAAGTCGACTGGCTACTTAATGCATAATCTTCTTTCCTCTTCCTCAGGTGGTGCAAAATCAGGAGGTGTGCGCTTTTCAGAGGAACCTCCTGCTGCCGGAGCACCATCGCATGTCCACTTTGATGAAAAGCTGCATGATTCTGTTGTCATGGTGACGCCGCAGGATGATGGCAACTTCATGGTCAAGGTATGTCTACACTTGCAATGAACCGACACTTGACAGCTACGACAGCTACAGCACATTAAGTAGAGCTCGTTTAACTCAGCATTTTACTGATGGATGCATGATTGGGACCAAAATCATCATCATTTGTTTACTCTATAGTGGGATTATTCACTGATTTTAGGGACATTTATTTGTTTGTTTTTTTGCACTATCACATTAAAATAAAAAGAACTCGGCTTTCGTTTCATATTGTGCTACATTCCTGCTAATGTGCAACTCTGTGCATCAAAATATGACTTCAAATAAGATTCTTTTCTTTTTTTTTTTTACCTTATTTAAGTGCATCTTTAAAGGCAACTTAAATGTATTTGCACAGAGAAGCTTCTAGTCTCCTCACTGTCACTACAGGCAGCAACTCAGACATTGTGACCAAAAATTACTTTGAAAAGAGTGAAATAAGTTTTTTATGTTAGATTTACCAAAGCTGGAACCAAGAGGTTGTATCTACATGGGCTGTTTTAAATGTGAATATCTCATTTGATGATGTTAGTATAATTATAGGAAGCCAAAATCATGATTGTGATTCATATTAAATGTGTTCATATAATTGGTTATGGCTTTATACTTTTATTTATTGATCGTTTGTCCTTGTTGTCAGGGTTCTTACTGATATGTTGTAAAGCACAAAAATAGACACAGTGTTATCTGTGTACGTCCTGCAGTTTCTGCTCTGGGTTTATAGTCTGTTTGAAATAGAGCTCCTGTGACCCTGTTTGTGATTTCCGCTAAAGTGAGAGAGGACCCTCCTCTACCCTCTTATCGTCTGGGTTTATGTCCAATCACAGCTCAGGGACATCTTGCACTGGGTCCACTGTGAGATGCCGTCTCTGATTGATAGACTGTGGTTGAGATAATTCGGTTTCCACCCTGTTTGCTTCTTGTTCCCGTCAGTTCAGCGATATAATCGCACGACAAAAAAGATTTGTCAAACTAGGAATGAACAGCGGCAGATTGATTGTGCACCAGGGCTTTGACCTTACGACGGTCATGTGAGTACTAAACGTTATAGCCAAGTCATGCCAGCATGTTAGTCAGAGGATGTTACTAGAAGTGGGGTCATATTGGAGAGCTACGTTAGATTTAAAACTTGGGGGCTACTAAGATATTGGTCAAGGTATTGGTTGTTTCTTTAAATGGTACAACACAGCCTGTCACACAAGCACATAAACACAGAAACAGAAATAATTGCAAATGTATTTCTTCAGCATCACAATTAAAAATGTGACTGACAGCAGACTGCTTGCTCTGGATTGTAAAAAATAATCCAGAGTTGAGGTTGTGATTTTGTGATGATTTCACAATCAGCTTAGTTGCAATTTAAAATTCTTAACCAACCATTCAAGTCCTGACTCTCTATGACGTGCAGTACTGTGACATGGATGCTAAAGAGGGGCGGTGGTAGTTATTTGACAGAAGGAAGATGAATGACAGCAGCTAGGCTGACTCAGCAGATGTAGACTGCGGGTATAAGCCTGCCATTGGCCGCTTATGTCAGCTTTCTCTTCGCCTTCCACGATCTGCAAATCCACTTCTCAACGGTAAACAACAGCAGCCACCTCTGGGCCAGCAACACACTGAAAAGTTTTGCTATGTATTTACATCATGCATTAAGGCAGCCCTGCTATTTTTTTTCAGTGGCTTATCCATTTTAATGAGTGCTCTCCTTCCTGTATGCAAATGTTTCACAAAAACAATTTAACCTATTTTGAGGGAACACTGTGTGGCAGCCAAGATGATTAGGACTGGTTTAAAGAAATACAAATGAGTGTTTTTCTCCCTCTGTAGCAAAAATAATACTGACGTGTTCATTCAACAGTGTAAATGTTCATCTACAGTGCATACATGTAATTAATCTGGTTTTCAATCTGCAGAAAATTCATCATGCTTTACATTAAATGGCTACAAAAGCAGCAATTGTTGCAATCATTTGATGATTTGGCCGGAATCTGTTTAGTTTCAAGAAAATACTGGAAATGTTTGGAAGCACTTACTTGCAAGATAATAATCATCCCTCTCCCCTCCGCTCAGCTATCTGGCATCATCGCATGCTGCCTTGGAACAGAAATGCTGAGATGTCGTTTTCTTCTTGCCATCCAGCGCCCGTCTGCTCCATGGATGCTGCAGTTTAACTGTCGTGGGGCGAGACTGGGTGTCTGCAAAGGTTGGGGGAAAAAGCGTTGATGAAATGTTGTCAACATGAAATACAAAATATATATTGTACAGGCATGTATTCTATCAACAAAGAGCCGAACCAGTCCGCAATACTAAAGGCTTAATTCGACTCATTAATGCACTAATTAAACCAAACATCATTTTAGAACACGTATAAGTCCTGCTTCTTTTGACCTTGAAGCTACTGTGCCCGGCCACAGGAGCTCGACTTCCTTTGCCGACATGTTTTTCCAGCGCTGGATATAATATTGGGAGGTGACTCTTTGATCTAGTGTGCCCAGTCCCTTCAGTTTCTGTGAGAATTGATAGGCCTTATCTGTGAAACATCCAGGAGAAGATTAAAGTCTTCGCATCACAGTTAATCTCCTCTGTCAGCTATAAAGGCGCAGAACAATGATATCAGACTTCTCATCTGTTCTCTGCTGTCAGCTTTTACACCCCGGAGGTGCTTAACTCAGGAGCCAAGTAATGACAAAGGAAGGTGCCAAAAAGCTCTCGAACTTTTGAAATAACACCCTGTGTCGTAAATTTGACCATCGGTGACCGTTCATTTTCAGTTCCAGAGACTTCAGTGGCCTTGAACCGACAATCATACGGATGAAAGGTTGCCAAGAGGAAGCGTGCTGTACAATTTAAACCTTGCTCAATTATTTTTCAGAGATTGTTGCTTCTTTTTGCAGCTCTTTAATCCAGTTTCTAATCTAATTCTTCATGACTTCCATGACTGCTGCACTAGTTTTAGCGGAAGACATAAGAGGATGTTGCACAGATGCACGGCTGGATTGGAGCCAAAAGAAAAGTAGGTTGTGTGTTTTATGTCACAGGGACACCTAATAAAGTTTACCTTGACCTTGACCTTGACACCTTGACATTTGAGACTTTGAACTCAAAGTTGTGAAGCGTGTCAGTTTTCAGACAGACTGGTGGCGTGGCCCAGTGGGGATTCCCTGTCGTTTCCTCTACCAACACAACAAGCATCTGATGGACTGCCATTAAATTTGGTACAAACATTCATGACTGCTGTTCCCTTGGCTTCAGTCGGTCAAAAATTCCTCTTACCCTGTATAACATTCCAGCACCTGCTGAATGGATTAGCATAACGCTTTGTAGTGTATTGTACTGACTTTGATCATCTCTGGACTTTGCCTCAAGCGACAACACGATATTGAATTTTGTGGTTTGTAATGAAATATTTTGTAACCTTTGGATGGATTGCCATGACATTTTGTCTATGTAAAGGTAATTAAAAGTGAATCAAGTCCTGTATCTGTGTCAGAGATGATGAACATGATACACATAATGACTGCTATACCTCATTGTAGACATACCGTATGTGGATCGCTGATGTTAGCATTTCGTTCTGAACCCCACTGCGCCTCACAAAGCTGCCTCCTGAGCTGCTAAGTCCCAGTCTTGGACACTCAAAGATCTCTGGAATAAAAGTGGTGTCCACAAATAGAAGATAATGCACAAGCGAGTCAAAGGCACCGAGCTTCATGTTTGAGAAAAGACATGCCCACCAGACAGAGAACTGGGCACAACTAACAAGTCATGGATTTGTTTTGCTTCGGTGCCTGGCAACGAAAAATCAAGTGCATCTCAAGTAGCTGATGCTTTTATAATGGCTTTTGAAAGGATCAGACTATTTCCTAGAATCTCTTTTATCAATACTACAGAATAACTGAAGTGTCTTTATTCTCATTTTCAGGCCTTTTCTCTGCCACTAACAAAATCTGTCTCGGATTGGTTGATACATTCAGCAAACAACTCTGCCGTTTCTCAGTGTCAAACATAGAAAGAAATGTGAATTTCCCAGGTTTACAGTATAAGATGACTCAGCTCGGAAGCTAGCTCTGGCTTAAGAGACACTAAATTTAGGAGGCTTTCACGTTAACCATATCCTCCTGCTGTCTCACTCAAACCAAAGTCCCAAAGGAAAGTTCTGTCGACTCTCTCAAAGTCCTGTTCCCTGTAAGTAAAGCCTCTCCAAGTGTTAACTCTAATTCACCGCCAGATCAGTTTGCTTTAAAGTTTAGTGCGCGCGCGTAGATGGGCTACAAAGTTGGCTCTGACCTTCACAGTTACAGACCAGCCCGTCTGTGTGTGCGTGTTCCCTCAGAGCTCTTAAAGCGTGCTGGAGAGTGGGCACGGAGCGCTGCGAGCCCAGCCTCGTGGCTCGCCGTGGAGATAAGGGGGGAGGTGTTGCCATGGAAACGGCCGGGGGGTTGACGATCCTCGCAGGCAGACCAAAGACGAGGTGGAAGTGCGTGGGATGGAAGCGGTATGCAGACAACAGCTGTATGAATGCCAGTTTTGATGAAGGTTATTTACATTTCACAAACTCCGTGGTGTCCGTGTGTGAGGTGGGGGTCACGCAGAAACGGCCGATAATTTTTCTGTGAGCAAGCTCACTGTTTCTGATTAACACGGTGAAGTGAGGGCATGGAAATGAGCAGCTGTCAGTGCTACAAAATTTGGCCTGAAGAAGTGTTGCTGCAGAAGCTACACATTTTAAATTCAAATTATTTGTGTGACACGGGACACCAAAGGCGATGTTTATGAACTTTACCACCAGTGGAGCAGAAGATCAGGTGCTGCTCTGCAGACATCAGTACAGCTACATGCAGATTACCTACAATTACATTACGGTCAGTAACCAGTTTAGGGGTTAATGAATGAAGGATGCATCACGCTTACTGGAAACACTGACATAATATAACAGAAGGGAAATATAAAAAGGTTATACTGCTAATAAATGTTGCTCTGGTCACCTTTTTCCTCACTGTGGGCTCATTTTTCTCTGCACCTCTGAGGAAACTGTATCACCATGGCTAGCAATAGAGAGAACTTAAAAATTAAAAAGGTCATAATGCTATAAAGGGCTGCAAGGTGGAGCGGTGGGTAGCACCGTCGCCTCACAGCAAGAAGGTCGCCAGTTTGCATCCCAGTGAGGACACCTGGGATCTCTCTGCATGGAGTTTGCATGTTCTCCTCATGCAGCGTGGGTTCTCTCTGGGTTCTCCGGCTTCCTCCCTCACAGTCCAAAAACATGCTGAGGTTAATTGGTGATTCTAAATTGTCCGTAGGTGTGAATGTGAGTGTGCTTGGTTGTCTGTCTCTAAGTGTAGCCCTGTGATAGACTGGTGACCTGTCCAGGGTGTCCTCTGCCTTCACCCTGAGTCAGCTGGGATAGACTCCAGCCCCCCACGACCCTAGTGAGGATTAGGTGTTTCCCTATTTGTTTGTGATATTTTCTGCATATACTCTACCTGCAGTTCAGCCCAATAAGGGCCAAAATGTCCCTGAATTTTTGTCACATGCCTGCTGATCGAAGCTCAGTCTCTAATTGATTCCTGGTTGCACCAAGGATCACAGATTGTTCTTTTACTTTTTACAGAATCTAGTTAGAGCAAACATTTTATTTAGGAGACATGTTGAATTTTTACAAAATATGATTTTATGTGTATATGTGACTAAGTTTCCTAAACCAGAAGTCACACACAGGAAGTTTGTGAGCCATTGTAAAGTTAAAAAACTGACAATTCCTTCTTTTTTCATCATTTCCCCCTCTTTTTTTTTTTTTTTTAAGATAACACGCCTTTAAACCCGCCAGCAGGTTTTGAAGCTCAGAGGGGCAACACTAGATCAAATGTGAAGTGTGACAGACCCGCAGAGAAAACCTGACTCAGTGGTTCCCAGAAAATCTGCTTTATTTCTGGCCTGCAGTGTTTCTCAACTCTGCCATCATTAGTTATTTTCCAGACAGCAGCAGGTGAACACAGTGGAGCATTTAGCAGCTAGTGCTCCAGATATTCCTCTGAGGAGCTGATGGAGACTGTGGACCACTTGGAGAAAACATCTAATTGTGATTTTTGTGACAGATGTTGTGATTACGATTTGATTTGCGATAAACATTTAAAGTCTGTCTACTGGATATAACACATGGCTGAGCATTACCACACGAGACACGAGGACAGCATGTGGAACCATTATTTATTCTTACTTTATTCAGTTTCCAGTTATTTGAGTGACTATTGTAAATTTTGCCTTTTCTTTAAAGTAATGGTCTGAATACATTTGAGGACGACTGTATAAACAAGCAACTAGTTGCTAACAGATTGTTTACATCCTGACTCGCTGCCTTCAGGTGGCCCAAAAAATGTAATTTGCACAGTAGCTTAATAGAAAATCTGCTATTTGTTGCATCAACAACCAGCCTTGATTGTGTCCGTCGTCCCAGTTTATTTCACTACATTAATTGCTTTACATCTTTGCAAATATTTAGAGCTCTGACAGAAATGCAAAGTATTAGAATTAGCCAACTTGTTGTTCAATAAGTCTGGAGTTGATCTGCTGAAGCTGTATATCAGCTCTCTGAATGAATAATGGAGTCTCACTGAAATGCATTTCATATATAAACACTTTTAAATAAGTATTGCCAGCAGCTACAAACCACACATGAGCCTCGCTGGAGTGTAAGGGCAAAACAAATCAATCTTTATAAGTCAGCACCTTATTCAGTGGCTGTTGAGAATTGCTGCATTTTTCAGCCTGAGGTTTTCCAGTTTCTAGTCGGAGAGTTGTATGTTTACGAGCGCCGGCTGAACTGTCCTTCATACGAGTTACTAACATGCGTGGTATTCCCCTCCGAGTTGTCAGAAGAATGGCACCATTGTTTTATGTGAATACTGTTTTGTCTCTGGTCGTTCTCGACTGCAAGTGTTGCACATAGTACATCTTCAGTAGTGACACAATGATGGTTCATACATTAAATTGGCAAAGTGTTTCCAGTTGCTTACAAACTGATAAGTCACGTATTGATTTTTCCTTTTTGGTCCCCCGTTGATCACTGAGGAATTCCACCACCTCACCTTTCTTCTTTTTCAAATGTGCAGCATGAAAATGAATTAAATCGATTCATCAAAGACAGTTCACAGGCTCTGGACATGCGTGGGACGACGCTCACAGAATCTTTATTGTTCTTCTCCGCGGCGCTCCTCTCGTTGCTCCTTCTCCCTTTTTCGCTGGCTACTGTCTGGAGCCTCTGCTCTGCCCGTTGCTTTAACTTTGGGTCGTGTGGGGCTGAAGCTGGCGTTTGCAGCTCTAGCTGGAGGGGCTTTACGCTTATCTCTCCTTGCCTGCACTTCCCTGCTGTCTCCTTCTCTGTCTCTCTCGCTCGCTGTCTCTCTTTTCATCCCGTCTCCTCTGTGATGCTCTCCTCACTGCTCGCTGTGACGATTCCTCCTCATGAATTTTTCTCTTTGCTGAATATCAGGCTGCTGTTCCTACATCACCCCTCACGCTCTAACTTTCTCCTGCTCGTTCTCTCACATTCACACCTTGAAATTGTCTTCTTAGTTCTGCATATTGGTAAAATCCATGCAGGCTGATGGACGACTTTGCACAGAGCAGCAACTGGTGGTTTTTATTGTTGTTCAGTCTTTTGATAATTTTTACCAGTTAATTATTTTCCTTGTTAAATGTTGAAACTATACATTTAAACGTGAAATACTTGAATTACTTGTTATGTTGGACCAGCTGTTATATTTGTTCTTCAGTAATATACAAATAGTTGCTTGTGAGAAGCTGTAACTGGATTTTGTTTGATATTTTGCCTAACAAAGGATGCAAGCAGTTAATTAACCATCAGGATTGATGCTGATTCATTTTCTATTGATGGGCTAATTGGAAAATCCATATTAAATGTCATCATTTAGGGTAATACATGTTCAAATAGGAGTATAATCTCTCTTTTTTTTTTTTTACAATAAGGGCTGAGCAAATAATTTCAACTTGAAATAGCAATTTGAAAAAAATGCAATTAGCAAATCACAAAAGCTGTCATTTAAAATATACATGGTGTGGCTTTTACTTATTGAGAGTTTAAATTGTTTCTTACTCAAACTTTCTGGGGTTGTTTAAGGTTGCCCACTTATGTCTTCTAAGCACACATGCTGTGGTTTGACTGACATAGGCCCACTTTCATTATTTTGTTTTATGGAGAAACTGTTTTGCAGTGCATCCAAGGGTTTAAACTGTTGTGTCAATAAATTTACAATTTTATTTGAGCCTCCTTGTGTGATAGTTTCTCATTTTAAATCTGCTCCACAATTAATTTAAGCTTAAAATATTAGATCGCAGATTAAATCTAATCGCAATTAGATGTTTTCCCAAAATCGTTCAGCCTTGGTTATAGTTAATATTTGGGTTGAAAGTTCATTCTTGACCTGGTGAAAAGAAGTTGATGAAGAACTACTTGGATGTAATGTCCCTAAAGCATTCACAAACGTTGTAAATGAACACCATCCATAACAACGGAGGAGTCATTAATGTAATATGGCTAAATAAAGGCAGAAGAGTTTCTAAATGAACCCTGTTGTAGCTTCACATCCACACAGAGGCTTTGGCCGAGGCTGCAACAAACACTGTTCTGTGGTTTTGTTCTATCAGCCACTAAGTCTATAAACCATCAAAAAATGAAAAATGTCCATCACAATTTTCAAGGTAACATTTTCAAATTCTCAGTTTGGAGAATCAAAGAATCTTTGGCTTGAATTATGATGCAACGGTTATCAGAGATGTTGATGGATTTTGTTGTTGCCGCTCCACCACGTCAGCCTGGCCATCTTCAACATCAGAGCCTCATCTAATTAACTGTTAACGCAGAGAGTTTCAAAGCCGACTGCCTTCTTGTGTGATTTTTACTCAAACTTCTCGTGAGAGTCCATGTTGGCCTCCATTTTCGTCTGCTGGAGAGTTTCCACTCCAGCCTCCCTGCTGTGCTAGAAGGTGTAATAAGACTCTTGAATTGCTGACAGATCCGTTCACATGGGATTAGCATTACTGCAAGACTTTTGAGCTGAGTGAAATACAGAAAGTTATTTGGTTTTATTTCCCGTCTGGCCAAAATTGCAAATCTGGCAGAGGTGAGAGGGATTAAGATCACCAGAGCAATAAGTAATCATTTCAATTACAAGACTCCCTCAAGGAGAACGCAGCCCGACAGTGTAGTGCTTATTTGAATAAGAATTCTTCTCCGTGTTACTTGTAAAAATGAATGCTTGATTTATTGACTTCTAATAGACTGGCACTGTGGCAATGTGAGGGCAAGACAAAGGATTATGTTTTCTCTCACTTGCTAAATCTTTGCTCTTCCCTCTCTTAGGTTGGCTTCCTGAAGGCGCAGCACAGGTATGAAATAGTGTTCACCCTCCCTGAAGTCCCGGCTCTGGGTAAAGATGTGTGTCCAGCACCGCTACCCAGTCCACACCTCCGGATCACTGATATCACACCGGCACCAGAGGGTGAGTTCAAAAAAACATGAGTCAGTGTAAATCAAAAAGATTTAGAGGTAGAACTCAACTTTTTCTATAGTGGGAGCAGAAAAGTCTGACCAGTACTCGACGAACACCTCCGTAGTGATCCGTTAATAACCAGCCCACAAAAGACTTGAATCATGATAATGTAACTTAATTTGCTTTGTAATTATGTTGAACTCAGCTCTGTATGTCTGACCTGCATCTTAGATTGATGATTTTGAGCTGAAGTGGGTCATCAGTGTGGGAGGGAATTGGTCCAGCATCACCCCTCTACTACATCTGTGTGGCTTATGCTTCTGTTGCTGTTGCACCTAATTAACTTAAATACTAAGATGGTAGATAGAATGATAAAAGGCATACGTATGTTATTATAATCCAATCGCTAGAGTCTAATCATCAGTTTGTGTGCGATTAGGTACATCCATGCTAATTATCATGGTTAATGGTGCTGTCATGATATCTATCAAGCTTCCCTGAGGAGCTGCTGGATAAGATTTTAATATGTTTAAATTGTCTCACACCAGCCTTGCCTTGAATTCTACTGAAGCCTGACTGAACACTGAACTGCATATTGCAGCTGTGTGGAAGTGCAGAGGTCGACACAAAGACAGCCTAGTTTGCTGGTCCGGTTGTGGTCAGTCTGCCACTGTTTAACCAGCTGTGGTGAACAATAAGCTGTTAATGAATGCAGGTGCTCTGGGCTTCCTGAGAACGAGGGCAGGGTTGCAGGAACGATGACGTTGTGATGTTGGCAGTGCTCATGTTTTAACAGCGTTGCATTTAAAATCTGTAGCATCAAAAGTTTAGACTCAGTTTGGGGGAAGGGTTCCATAAATATTCTGACACAACTACAATAACATTATTACATTACATGAATATTACATCAGTTCTAGCAGTGAAAATTAACTTTTTCTGCTTTGTTAACATGTTCGTATAATGTTTTTTATACGTTGGAAGACATATACCGAGTGAACTAAGCGGTCAACGGCATAGCTGAGCATCTCCACCTTAAAACTTAAGTGTCCAAATGACGATTTAAAAAGTGGATTCAGAATTTCCAGGTTTCAGATGTAATAAATAGACGTAACCAGTCGTGTCAACTTGCAGGGTGGGGCTTTACTCTGTCATTATTCATCTTTAGATCCAATTTCTGAATTAAATATGTTTTTTTGAGTGCTGGTGTGCTAGTGACTGATGGGAATGTACGTAGGGATGGGGACTCTATAGATCTAGAGAGGAGTTGAGAGGAAATTTAATAAAACCATTAAATTAGTTTTTGCTTTAAAACTTAGAGGACTTGTGGGAACATGCAGGCTTCCTCTCAGGTAGAAGATAGTTCCAACAACTTCTACCAAGAGGCAGAGCAACGTGCATGTTGCCTGAGAGGTGACATCTAGGGCAAAAAGAACCCCATCATTCACTTGCTTCTGCTGTAAAAAGTTAATTTACAGTTTACAGTCGTACCGGATAAGACTGATAACAGACAGTAAGATGTTTCAGTGACTGACTCAAATGGAAACTGTAGAAGTGAGGAGGACATCTTCCAGTGAAGTTATGCCCCATTCATTTGCAGTATATGTAATATAAACAGACATTTTTTGATGTCATTTGTGATCATAATATGAACTCAAATAGACCTATAACAATTAAAAATGCTCTCTGGTGGACAAACAGTTTCTAAACGACATATAATCGCATATTTGGTGTTTTTGTACTCTTATTTCTTGCTACCTATCAGCTAAATATACAATATATGTTGATAATAATTTGCTTCCAATTAGATGCTTTGTTAGGCCGACAATTTTTGACCTTTAACCTCTTCAACACAACATGTAAACAGCACAGTAATGTTATTATTCCAGTGTGCAGACTGTTCATTCTGTTCCACACCTCCATTCTAATTGTCCTTCACAGTGAATGTTGCTGCACGCTGCAGACAGATCTCCCAAATGCCATTCATTACTTAAATCCCCTTTAAATTTGTTTGAATATTCAGCTTTTGCCAGTCACGTAGTGCCTTATCGCCTCCTGAACACACACACAGTGCCACAATTATTCAGAGAGCACTATACAAATAAAGGACAAGTTTATTATGTGCTTGTTTTTTGGGGGTTTGTTTTTGTTGCTGGCAGACCTGAATTCAATGCTTTGCGTGTAATTCTCAGCAGCATTGTTAGAGGCTGCACAGAGTTCCAGATGGCTGAGGATTACAGCAACAGACATTTCAGATAGTGTTAGCGCAACAATCCCTCTCTGAGAAATCTGAAGAACAACACTGACTTTCATACATATTTCCTGTGTTTGTCTTGAATTCCTGTCATTGGTTATGCTGCTGTAGGTGGTAAATCCCAAACATCTGGTACCTGTGTGGGCTAAAAAATAAAACTGCAAACTACAAATTTGAGTGTGTCAATACTAAACTGAGTAAAATGGGCTAAAGGTGATCCTCTAATGTTTCTGGGAGTCATGCCCACTACGTGCCTGTAACTGAAGCAGGTTACTGACCTTTACTTTGGCCTTACAGTCACACACTCTGTATCCCTCTCTGCCCTGCGTCCAGAGCTGTGTGTTCACCTCAGCTGATGTCAACAGGTGTACCACTATGTTTGTCTTGTTGTGTATTCATTATATTCATTGCTGTTTGCTTATCGGTCAGCAGTGTTTATGTTTTTTTCCATCATGTTGTTCTCTTGGCTGCCTGATTGTCTGTCTGTCTGATCCATATTAAAAACACTATCTCACATGGAGGGACAAAGAAGAAGTCTGTGTGTGGGTCTGTGTTGTGAAACTTGGCAAAAAACAAAAAAGGAAACCCAATCTTCTTTGTGCTTCCAGGAGGTCTGAAGATAACGTGCGAGTACATGGCCCAGCAGGAGGGAGTTCTGTGTGAGGAGGTGCTGCTGCTGAGCGAGACCAACGAAGACGTCTGTGTCAAAGTCAAAGTTCACGCCAGAGTCATGGGTGAGGTTGTTTTAACAATACCTAAGTGATATAATCTCATTTTCCTGTATAAACCACTGACACTGCACCACACTGTAACCTGTCGATGAACTTTTTTTTTAAAGTTGATTTTTGAGCTTATGAAATTTGCAGAAGTTACTCTTCCTATTAGACTTTTTTTTTATTAGAAAAACATTAATCATTTGGGGATTACTTTGAGTTAAATAGCTGGAAGGCCTCCACAGATTATTTTTTTAGGCATTTCCGCTCATAAAACCTTAAGAGCCAAAAAGGATTTTGAAGATTGAACTTATAAAAGCTGGGGTAGGCATCAGAGTTTGAAAGTACAGCCCTCCTCTTGCTGCTTTCCCTCTTCTGTCCGTATGAATGCTCCATATTCACATGCAAGACAAGTTTGATCCTAAACAGGAACATCAGCTGAAACAGAGACAGCTGTGAGCCTTTGGCTGCAGTTAACAGAAGGCTCAGCTATGAACAACATTGAACATAACTACTAATGGCTTGCTTGCATGTTAAATTTACCTCTACAGCCAAAACAACCATGACAACATATTAGATATTACAGGAGAATCAGGGACTTACTGGTCCAGCAGAAGGAAGCTCAGAATATAGTACGTAATTGTAATACAACGTGTATGGTTCACTGATATGGACACGTGTTTTATTGCACTTATTGATAAGGCGTCTTCCTTATTTTTGAGTTCCTCTGCAGTGTTGGCAGTTTTTGCAAATGCTGGAATAGCTACGTTTTCTGCCATTGAATCACTCTCGCCACCATCTGAGGGGACATCTATGCTCAGTAGCAGCAACATCCTCTCTCTGAAAAGACTTGTGATCGGTCCAAGTCTCCCATCATCAGGCTGATTTTCTAAAGCCTGAAAACAGACCCAGGAGGAGGTGCAGAAGTCTGTTTTCCTCTCAGACCACTTGGAATGAAAAATGTAAAAAAATGACTTCATATCCCAGCTTCTAGAGATGTGGATCAACACTGACTGCAAGATTAAGTTTTAGCAAATCTTCACAAATAGGACTAAAAAGGATGGTTATTTCCAAGTACCATATTATTGTACTTTATAATGTTTGGTGTATTTTTTTGTAATTCTCCAACACAGTTCTTATCAGTAGAATTAAATGATTAAACATTTTGTTTTCCCATTACTTCTTTCAACCCAGTTTGAAAACTGCATTTTAACACCTGTTAGATTAATGACAACCCCGTAACATTCATGAGTCTCTTATTTCTGCCTGTCTTGGTGTTCCAGTGAGCACTGGCAGATAAACCAAAGGTGGAACTTGAAGTATCTTAACTAGTGCGCTGCTGCCGCCTGCTGGTGACTCTGGGTTAAGGCTCAGTCACTTCTGCAATCAATAAGTCCTTAAAAAAATAAATATTCAGCTGTCTTTAAAGCAAATTGGAGATAAAAATGCATCATAAAAGCTCATAAAAGATCTCTAGAATTTATATTGTTGCCACAAACAGCCTGTTTATTGAATCCTTGCTGAGGTGCAGGTGTACACTAGTAACATAACTGCTTATCTACAGCCCTGCTGTGTGCATGCTGTAATAAATTTGCATTTTCTACACTTAAACACTGCCAGTGAGACTGAGTACCACTCTGACATGTGTGTCAGCAGATGGAAAATTAGGTAAAGAGGGCGTATGTGTTTTTCCATCTGTGCTTGTGTAAATATAGTAAAACTTTAGTGCGTATTTCTGCATGCACGCACTTGTGTGTATGCATGTGTGGATGAATGGTGGCTTTGTATTTAAGTGTTTATTTTTACTCGCGCTGCGTGGCCTGAACATCTGTCCAGATGTCTGTGTGTAATTGAGGCCTGGATGAAAACCAGATCAATGGATTAAGCTGTGCTTCCACCTCTGCTGTTACTCTTAGCTGTAGTGCTGCTATTAGATCAGTGACTGAATGAGGGAAAAAATAGCATCTTGCTGCAGGCTCAGTCTTCAGTGTTGGTCAAATCAAATTGTTTTCAAACCTCTCTTAACTTATTGAATGTTGTGCTAAATATTATGGTAACCAGGCCTCTGGGCATTATTTTTAAAGCAGGCATTTCAGGCATTGCAAGCAGATTTCTAACACTTGTTATCGTTGTGTTTATTGTGTTTATTGTGTTTATTGTTATCGCCAGGTAAAACTGTAAAATACGTGACTGAAGCCATAAGGGGCATTTTTCACTGAATATCTATCAATGACATTAAAGCACTACACAAAAATAATAAGTGTTTTAATAACTACTGAAAATAGTCATTTGTTGCAGCGTCAGTCAGTAAAAATACTTCTGGGCGGGATAAAAGTTCGTTGCATTGGCCGGGAATCGAACCCGGGCCTCCCGCGTGGCAGGCGAGAATTCTACCACTGAACCACCAATGCATTGATGTTCAGGACATGCGCAGTGGCGAAACTAAACAGTGAGCCGACCCGACTATCCTCTGGTACAGCGATGCATTTACAATTCCGAAATATCGTTATATGTGCTAAACGCCGGGTGCAAACAATAGTTAATAACTCTGACTCTAAATAGAACTGTGGAGGTTCATCACTTTGTGAAAGTCAACAGTGAATAGTTTTGTTCTGCAGCTGTGATCGACAACCGAGATCGTTTCTTTACTGCATCGTACTTGCAGCGTTTAGGACTGAAGACCACCAGATGGGAGGGTGTTTGCATGTAAGCAGATACTACAGGGGGAGCTTACTATCATGGAGCCTCTCAGTCATGGCTGTCTTCCACACTGTGCATGGATTACACTAGCAGTTTGAGAGAGAGAGAGAGTGAAGCTGGAGAACCACAGAACCGCCTGCAGACGTCCCTATTGAAGCCGGAGCTTTGGTTGCTGCATGAAGCAGCCTGGGGACAACCCACTCATCATCACCAGGAGTGGATGACAGTCTCAGTCAGTGTTCATGAGTGAAGAAACAGAAACCAGTGGGGCTGAAACCAGCTTCTCCTCAACATTTCCCCCCAGAAACAGAGGAAAGGAGCTTCAAATGCTGTCTGTCACACCTGCTCTACAAGCTGCTGCTGCTGCTGCACAGAAACCATCCACTGCAACAAAAAAAAAAAAGATTGGTCTTGTAAAAATCCTCTGAATGAGCCCCTGTTGCTGGTAGGCTCAAATGATGTTGTGTGGATTGGTCCGAGCCACTTTGTTTCTCATTCACCGAGCTAAAGCTGTGTGCAAATGCCTGATTTGTTTTCAGACATGCGCAGAAGGAACAGAATATTGGATTATAACGGCTGACTCAACGCTTAAATGAGTTGTCATTGCTCAGTACGGGCCACCAAATGACTGTGGTGTACAAGCACGAGTCCTACATCTGCGAACAATGAGCACTGTAGACAAAACCGATGGTAGATAAATGGTTTAAATGCAACATAGCTAGTGTGCAGTATGTTTTCCTTTTGTTAATTTGTGTGTGTATATATGTGTGTAGATATTTTTCTCAGCAGTAGTTGGTTGGTTTTTAAAGAGTGAATAATGATGTACTAATTCCGCCCCTCTCCTGGTCTCTATCGCTTTATCACAGACATTAGAAAGATGTTTGACTGATGGCTCACAGGAAAGACGTCAGGTTGTGACAGGTCTAAAACATGTAATACAGAGGGACAGGTGGTATTCACTCTAATAAACCATATATCCAAAACATACAGATAAATGCTCCTAAATGCTACACTCCATCTGAAATTAGCCCGCTTCTTGCCACAGATGTAAGTGTTCAAAGGAGAGCTGAGATCAGAGCAATCATTTCTGTTGTATCTCTTCCTCTCATGCAGATCGTCACCACGGTACGCCCATGCTGCTGGAGGGAGTCCGCTGCATTGGCATGGAGCTGGAGTACGACTCCGAGCAGAGTGACTGGCAAGGATTTGACTAAATCCCAACTTTCTGCTCCGTGTTCCACGTGACGCACACACACACACATCCAGAAACACACACATCTGCCATCTCAGAGGTGTACAAAGTGAACACGCCTATCATCTTCTCAAATAGAAAAACTGCCCATCGATGTACCATAAACACCCATGATTAGTGCCACGTACTGTCTCATCCCAGCCTCGGTGTTCAGTGTTGGACCTCAGAAGAAACGCAGCTCTTCTTCCTGAGAACATCACCATGAAAACATTCCTCTGCTGTGACTCTCGCAGCATCTGAACGGACACTTGCCTCCACTACGCTCTGTCGTTAATCTGTGTTATCCTTACTGAACCTCTGGAGGGCAGCAGTGCTCCTTCAATCAGAGCATCCTCACGTCTCTCTCATTGCTCTTTGTGCTCCAGTTCATTCCTCTCCTGATGTGCAAACTGTATCCCACATGGATTTATAGGATTAGCAGTAAACAAGGGCTCTTTTATTAATTAAAAAGCTTGAAAGTGACCCTAAAGGAAGGAACAAATCTGCACAGATCGAGTTGAACTGAGCAGAGCGTGCAATGCCTCTGTATAGCCATAGGGGGTCCCTGCAGACCACTGTATGTGATGCTCCTCTAATGTGAAGGCGTTTTTTTTGGCATCCTGAGCTGCAATGTGGTCACCATTTAAAGGAAAAATCCGACTTGGACGCTCTTAAATGTATGTTCAGTCTTGAATGTGAAACCCATATCAGGAGTTGTAACTTACATTTGTGTTGAACTCACTTAACCGCAACCTGCCCGAATTACTACGACTGCTCATGTTTTGTTACGTGTCCCAGACTGCCTTCAGGAAGCCCGTAAGAACAGGTGCCAGCTTATTTCAAATTGTGTAGGTGAGGAACACGGTTGTAGCTGCAGCACAGGAGGGAGGAGAAAATAATGTTCTCCTTATATATAGCACTAATCTGTTGACATATGTTGGGTTTTTCAGTTGGATTTCTCCCTGTGTGGTAGTTGTAAAATAAAAGAAGCACCTCTTCTTTTATTATGAGGACATGACGCCAACATCTGAGGTTAACTTTTGGTGTTTCAGATTCATTTTCTGCTACCAGACTCCTGAAAATATTGTATGATTGGCCTTTTGTTTCACAAACAACACATCTGAACCAAAAAGGTTGTTGAGTAGAGGTGGAACAAACAGTTTATGAATTAATTTTCCAATCAAGTTGTTTGATCATTGATTAATTCTTTTTTTTAAAAATCGAAATTCCAATGGATTTCCTGCATGTCTCTGTTTAATATCATAAATATAATATGTTTTGGGGTTTTTTTTTCTGTACTTTCTGACCACGTGAAGACCAAATGATTAACCCACTTATCAATCAAATAAGCAGCAGATGACATAATGTTATGAAAGTGTTTTGGGTGGCGTTTTTCCGTTTAGAAACAGCCAGTCGAGCAGGCTTTGGAAACGATTTGTTTCTCTTGCTTGAATTCATGAAACCTTCAGAAACACATGTGACACAAGTGCCTTTCATTGCACTGTCTTGTTCGTCTCTCATATCTGTTTTAACCACTTCCATTCTGTCGCTCGCTGTAACCACCAGGCGAGCACCTGCAGCACTTGTGAGGCGAGTTTTGGACTGCACGTGTTCGCACAAGGGGAAATAAAACATGTCTGCAATCACAAAAGCAACAATCAGAATTTTGTTGCCGTTGCGGTCCAACAGGACACCTGCCTGTCTGTAGTGTGTCCAGTGTTCAGTCCTACTTATTCCACCAGCTTGTCTCATACAGACGTGTTTGGTTCTCTGTCCCTGATGCCATCGTCACAGTGTGAGTGCAGATCAGAAGGAGGCGACAGGCACTTTGTCTGTCAGCTCTGCTAATTTACATTTGTGCTCAGAGAACAAGTGCCATGATCTGGCTGCACTGCCATTTCCTTTTATTCTTCTTTTTAAAAAAATAAATAAATCATAGAATTTTCTTCTTGTGAGTCAACTACTACAGTTTTCTTTTTTTTTGTCATTTAATGCATTCAGCCTTAAAAGAAACAATTCAGTGTGTAATTTCTCTTCGTATTAGACCTGGAGCTGTTGGTGTAGTGCAGATTAAATAGATTTATTTGATGTTTGCTTGTGCATAATAGGTCAGAGTTCCTCCTTAGTGTCAAACTGATGTGCTCGATAGGTTGCTGTTTCGAGAATGTAGCAGTTTATTTGTTGATATCTGCTCCCTGTGTGTGTGATTTGTATTTTTTAATGTCAAAAATGAATAAATAAGTGTGTATGTTTGAGTTTTGTTACTCTTTTGTCAGTTCATTGCAGGAACACTTGGTGGCAGCCTGAGCTCCTACAACAGCCAATTGTCCTGAATAAAGTGTTTCCACCCTGAGTTTACACAAAGTGATCAAGAGTAAAAACAAATTAATTTTCTTAAGAAATAATTTCAGATGAATCTTAAAATCTTGACAGAATTTTGGATTATTTCACATTTGACTTGTCTACATTTACAGGATCGTTGTGTTTCATGTAAGCACCACGGTGACATTTTTACTTAAACTACATGAACTTAGAGGCAACCTAAATTCTATGCATCTCTGGTTGTGTGACTCTTTCTGAGAGACCAAAAAATCTGCTCCTGAGGTGTCAGAATGCAGTTCGCGTTAACACAAAGTTCTAGAACAGTTCCAGATTTACAAAAATATCTCAGCCTGATTGGATTAATTACATCTACTCCTGTTGGTGTTCGGGAACATTTTATTTGTGTTTCTTTTGCTGTGCTTTAGATTTTCCACTCAGATTAGAAGTAATTATTTCACCGGCTCACTCTGAGGATCGGGAACTGGAATCACACATTCATTTCTTTATTTTCACAGCATTTCATCAGTTGCTCTGTTTAAATGTGGATTTTTACAACAGAAAATCACTCCTCACTGTGTGTGTTTTTAAAAAATAAATATACATACTGGTGAGGAATTTCCAGAGATTTACTAAATTAATTTGACTTCTTGAACATCCAGCCCACCACCTCTGGCTCTCTCTGAACAGACCATTCAGTGTGCATTAAAATGTTCTGTAGCACAGTCAGACAGTTAGAAACAAGTTGGACTCTTCAGTGGCCTGTTTGCCTTTAAGTAAAAAATGTGAAAATGATTATAAAGATTTAGAAACAAGACGCTTTAGAGGAAAGGCATTATGTCTGTGAGTTGGCTTCTACCTCAAAACTTCACTTCCAGATTAGAATTTTACAAAAATGGATGAAAAAAGGCTTTTGCAATGTGTGACATAAGGTGGTGACTTTCTCTCTCTTTCTTCTCTCTGGCTATTATCCAGACATTATACAAACAATCTTAAATAACCACCGCTGTTCTGTTGTAACTATTAAGCACCACTACAGGCTGCAAGCCTCCCACAGACAGGCCTGTCCTTGAACTGAAGCTTTCTTAATTTAACTTTGTATTTGATGTTCAGTCGTGATTATCAGCGGTTGGACGGGATCAGAGACAGAGAATAAAAATGAAGAAACTCTGCAGAACAGAACAGAGATCTGTGCTGAACAGTTCGTGTCCTGAGCTAAACCCAGACCCACTAACTCCACCAGCATCGCTCCTGCTGCTGCATCAAACTAAAATCATTGCAGGCACCCGGAGAATTAACAGCATTGTGACTGGAGGCAAAAACCCCCACTGGAACTTTGTACGGGACTTGGGAAATAAAGCAGAGCTGCAGAGGGACCGGATCTGGAAGAAAACGGGAAGATTGTTGATTTTCTTTGCATTATTATTATTATTATTATTATTTCAAATTCGTCTTTATTTAGTGGTTTGCGCCTCCTTATAATGTTAAAAGTAAATCGTGTACCAACAGTTGATGGGATTTAGCAGAAGTAAATAAAACTCTTAATTAGTTTTTTCATTGTTAACGTGGAAGAAGACATTTTAAGGCAACAGAAACATGAATTAGGTCAGAGTTTGTCGGTCAGTAATACGCGCAGCAGGCCTACAGGCCTCGCGCTGCTCCATATGGAATAATGTAAAGAACATGCACGAGCTGCTGCAGGGAGCACGAGACAAATCGGCTCTGCATTATTCACGCGGTGCTGTATTGGTCATAAATGTGGTGAATAGCGGAGCTGCAGGTGGTTAAAAGAAGAAAATAAAAATATTAAAACTAGATTTCTGAATTATTTAACCTAAACCGTTGATTTAAATTGACAGCTGCTCGAAAAACTCGCGCGTTTTGTTTTATTTTAAAGTCATAAATCACACATTTTTATATTGTTTAATTATTTTATGTATCTGACTCGTTTAGAAAATGTACAATAAAACGATCCTGATACCTGTTTTGTTCGTTTTTCTTATTTCAACTGTAGTTTATTTCGTCTTAAGATCTATTAAAGTGAATAAACTGAATAAAAAGATGTGTCTCCTAACGGAGCAAATGTGTGCGTTTTTAATCATTATTATTATTACAGTACTCAGAGCAGTTCAAAGCCAAGGCCATCAGCGGCACTGACGATTCATTTTCTATATACAACAATTCGTTTTTATAAAACGTCCTACATTTAATTTAACGGCACTTCTACACTCTGTCGCTGCTTTTTTAACTGGAATTGAACGAATTTACAGGTTATTCTCTCCACACTGCCGCCTTTCCACGAGCTATTGTGTTTGTTTTGACCCATTAACGTCTCCTGCCTTCACCGACAGAGCAGAATAGACCATCTCACCTCCTGACTGACAGAAAGTGGAACAAAGACCAACATGATGTTTTCCTTAAACGGGACAAATGGTCACTGAGGTGTTCTTGTGAGGAGGAGGAGGCCGGTGCGCCTGTTAATGTGGATAATAATCGTGTTTATGTTGCAGTAAAAACGCTGCGTAAAGTTGGATTCAGTCAAACTCACATCATGCATTCATTCTCCGCCACATTTTCCTTCCCTCCTCCTTCCAAGCTTTTTTATTTCCACAAAGCTCTGAATGCCTTCACTTTTTTTTCTCTCTCACCAACAAGGTCGGCGAGTCCGCGTCCAGTTCGGGCCCCAGCAGCGGTGCGCTGTTTGCACCAACCGTCCCGATGAACGCAAGTCCCACAAAGGACTGAGTGCCTCATCACGTGTTCTGCTTTTATAAATACACCTATGTTACACTTTTCAACATGCATTCGCGGTCTGACAGTCTTTAATGCAACCGTTTGAAATCAACTAATGCATAAATGTACATTTGTTGTAACACTAAAATACTATAAAAGAGGAGAAACGCGCAGAGAAATCGCTCAACTTCCACTAAAAACTAACCTGAGTGGAACCTGGACGCTCCACTGCGGGCACTTCAAACCATCTGCTGCCTAAATTAAGTCAAAATTATTAAATCTTTAATGAAATAACAGCTGCATGGACTCCTACACGTGGTCAAGTGTTTGCCATTCCTGCACAGATTTGTCTGGAGCTTGTGTGGGATGTGTGAACTCTGCGTGGCCCGGTGCCCTCCCTCTGACCTCTGGGATTACAGTAATCTCTGTTGATTGATCTGATTGATCAGATTCATCTCCACGAGGCCGCAATCCAGCCGCACACGGAGGAGGAGGAGGAGGAGGGGCACGAGGGGACGGAGATGAGGCAGTCGGTGCGTGGTGCAAATAAAGAGTTTTCCTCTGGGCCTGTGGGCATCTCCAGGCACTGAGTAGATGTGTGTGGCTGGAGGCATCAGTGTCATGTGACCCCAGATATGTGAATTTATGTGCAGTAATTTAATGTAAGGGGAGGATTTTGAGTAGAAGTTCTTATTTAACTGAACTTTAGAGGGATGGGTTCAGATTTGATTATCATAATGATAAATGTAAAAAGAAGTTTTTTTTTGTTGTTGTTTGTGATTGCATTGGTTTCAGGTCATCTGGGGGTAAATACACTATATTGTTTTATACTTTGAACATGATAAAGACCTTTACTGACGAGCATAAGCAAAATAACTGCAAGTAAACGGGGTTATTCTTACTTCTATGTCCAAAAAATAAAGTCAGAGAGAGAGCTTTGCTGTAACAAGTAAAGATACAGCTTTGGAAAAGTACAGAAGTACGGTGTTATCAGTGCCCAGAGAATTAAAGTTAAAGCTCTAATTAAGCAGAATGGCCCATTTCAGGACATTAAACATGTACATACTACTGATGCATTCACATAAGCAGCATTTTAATGTTGGAGCCTGATCACATCAAGCAAATGTAGAAAGTGAAATATATCATGTGATGCTTTTGGTCTTTTCAGGCTGCATGTGGACTAATTTTAGTCTGACTTGAACTGACTGGCTGATTCATTATTTTACTGTACTTGTGTACGTTAAAACAGCCTGGAAACTTATTATCCATCTGCGTCTATTACTATTAAAGCTGCCAAGAAACGCTAAACTACTACACGTGTCAGTCAGTGTGATAAACACCCTGAATGGCAACACTGAGGTATAATTAGACATCAAAAGTAGTAGCCAAAAATCCCCTGCACTTATTAAAATATCATAATCACAGGATGACACAAAAATGTTTCCTAACACACCCAAAGACTGGAATCAAAATATGAGCAGTCTTCAAAAAAAAAAAGTTAAATGTGGAAAAAAAAAAAAAAAAATCTGCTTTTTGGAGGGTTTTAGCTGTGCATCAGAGAGGGTGAAAACACTGGAGAGAAGGAGGAAGAAAAAGTGTGTGTGTGTGTGTGTGTGTGTGTGTGTGTGTGAGTGTGTGTGTGGGTGAGTGTCGCGGCGCAGCAGCAGCAATCAGTCCCCTCTTGTCTCGCTGCTGAGTGCAGCGTCTGATTGACAGTTTCTATTCATCCTCTGTGAGATTAGGCCAGCTGAAAGGAGTAACGACCCATGGCTGTGTGCAGTAATTACGGCCTCGGATAAGAAAAATAAGAAAAAACACACACAGCAAAACTATAATTATATAATCCCGCTCAAAATGCCCTTTTTCCACAGTGTTTTCAGAGATGTTTCACCTGTAAAGAGGAAATTCCACCCAGTGTTTCAGTTGTCCCTGCAACCGAAATTATCTCACAATCACAACAAACTACAGGCTGCACCATCAACATCAAGCTGGCAGAAGAAAATAGGCTGCTGTTTGATAAAGATGGCTCTGCATATATACAGTGAATGACTGTGAATGAGCTGTTTCATCTTCAGTGGAAAACAAAGAGTAACCTCACTTTATGCTCCTTTATCATAGTGCTTGTGACTGATTATGTGTTAACAGCTTCTTTACCAGTGTGGTTCATCCCCATTTCATACAGCAAGACTTACGGCAGATGTGTGTGTGTGTGTGTGTGTGTGGGGAGAGGGTGGACAGAATAACAGAAACACCTGTTAAATCTTGGCGTTAGACTGTCAGTGCAGCGCTCTGATCGTTTTCAAGCTTCTGTTTGCAATGCTGCAGCACTGAGTCATATTAGAATGTGAATGTTGTTGTGTCCATCCTCCAAATATATGTGCATTTTGTTTTACAGGGTGGAACCACTATGTGCTGCTGAGAGGCCAATATCCTATTTCCAAACCAGGGTTATAAAGATGATATTTTGCACTGATGTTACATCTTGGAATCTGATCATTTTCTTTTCTGCTTTGACAAAAACAAACAACTTGTTTTGTGTTTTATGCAGAATTCTAGTCTCATCAGGTGGACTGGGCTTCTGAAACAGCATTTAGGGACATAAAAAAACCCTCACAGATGACATCCAAACCATGAATTTTAGGTTCCACAGCTCTTTATATTTCCAAGTGACACACTGCATAGTGAATAGTAAAGTCAAGTATTGCAAAATGTTCTTTTTATGTCCCCTAGATCACAAATTTGACTTTATAATTTTACATTGTAGCACACTTGCTGTCCTTAGACCCTTGATTTGAATGAGAAAGGGAAACTGAGGGGTTTGCTGGGCATTTGAATGAAATATACATTTGGAGAGGCACATAAAGACATCTGAATAAGACGGTAAAATGTATGTAAAGGCACTTAAATGTGACTGAAGGCTTTCTGTTTACCTCCAGTGTTTGGCAAAGACCGGCATGACTACCAGGTATTTAATAAAATAAGATCAAACATTTTCGGATGACATTCTAGGCAGGTATATATAGCATTATATGGTCTGTATATGTTGATTATTTTTTTAAGTTCCTACCTTCATATTGGGAATCTGAGGCCTGCGAGTGAATGAGAGCCACAGAGGATACGTTGCGCTATACTTTAAATATATTTAGGCTTTACCTACTGGGTCGGAAGTGTGCTCTGCCCTCACACTGATGCAGGGAGCAGTGAGGAGCTCAGAGTTCGGCCGTAAAACAAAAGCAGTGGCCTAAACTGTGCTGTGGGGAAACCCGGGCAGCGCTGCGTTTGGCTGTTTCCAGAGCGGAACAGAGCGCACAACCATCGTCTCATGTCTCCGTGCCTGATCCCGGTCTGCAGCGCCGTTCATCCTCTTGTCAAAACGTGCCCCGCCGGTGGACCAATCAGCGACAAGTCTGAGCGGGTAGGAAATGACGTGTGGAGTTCCTGCCTGCGTAAAGTGCACTGTGTCACTACAAATATTATCCACACACCAACATCTCTCCTCTGCTAGTGTAGGCGGGGTGTTTCAGCCGCCCGGCTCAGACGTGATGTTTCAGCTGTAAAGCAAATTATAAAAGCCGAGTCTTCTCGAGACTTTATCTGTGAACAAATGTGACCATTTCCCACTTCCTGACAGTCCCCTCCTGAAGGGTTTCAACACAGACTCTTGTGCGCTTCACAAAAGCAGAAGACCACCGACCCCCTAATGTGGCCACCTCACCACCAACAACATGCAAACAAGGATCCGCAGAGGCAGCCGATTTGACCGGGAGTGAAGTAACAGGCTGCTGCTTCGGACACACCAGGAGGAACTTTCCTTCCTGGGTTGTGCACGGCGAACTGTGACCGCTTTTTTTTTTTTTTTCTTTTTTTTTTTTTTTTGCGCGCCGCCTCTTACTTTATTTCGTGGCTGAGCAGTGTGTGAGTGTTTGTGGCACCTCCCCGCTCCTCCATACATCTCTTTGCCAACTTACCTTGCAGGCTGCACCATGCATTTCTTCTGCACCTCCTGGCTATTGTAGATAGAGGCAGGACCCCGCGGTTTCTTCCCGAGCCGACTTCCTCTTCCCCTGGTTGGGACTCCGGACTGTGCGTCATGCCGAGACACCTGAAGCGCACTCCGGTTCCGTTGCAGGACCGCATGGTTCCTTTGTAACTGGATCTACTTTTCTTTGGAGGCAGAAGTGGGCATGCTCTCCTCGTCTCTGGAGAACATTTGCAAAGAGGAGAAGAAAGTAGAAAGAGAAGTGTGAGCGGCAGCTACAGAGGGAAGGAGAGATAATCTCAGAGATTGTAACTTACTTGTAGATGTTTGATCAGGCCACGACTATGGGCGATGGGAACCACCGCTGTGGACCCAACCCGCTGTGTCCGGACAGGATGGAAACAAAGTGCCGCGCCGACATAGGGAGCCGGTCCCCGGTCCAGAGCTCCACCGACACCCCGGGGACATCAGCGTCCACCCCGACGTCCTCCAGCGAAGACGGACACGACAAACTTTTGGGAGTGGACCCTGACTACTGTCGGAGGATATTAGTAAGGGGTAAGTGGACGAAAACAAAACAAACTGTTATTAATTCATTCTGTGCGTAAAAACCGAGAATCTGACATTTTTTTCCTGGAAAATAAGAACATTGTAACTTCACTATTATTTAAACACAATAGTCACAAATAATGAGTCGTGTACAACCATAAGCAGACACTGCTGTCCTCTGACAGACCGTGTGGACAGTCATTGCAAATAAAACAGAAGAACTGAATTAAATTGAGTTTAGTTTCAAAAACTAACTTAACATCGTTGTTAGTTGCATAAAGTGTTAAAATGGATATTTAAAAATATTATAAAGTGTTAGGATAAGCTTAAAAACACTCAAAACTTTGAAGGCTGGTCTGCCAAACACATGACTTTTATTTCTAAACAAAGTGGACAACAGTGTAACACAAACGGTGCATGAAGGACAACATAGAGCTTTTTATACTAACAATAGGAGACTTTCACTTTATAAATACCTGAATTATTAGAACATCAGACCTCGATGTAAATATATGTACATTTTTATTTATTTTTAATACAAGTAATAATGGGAAAGCAAGTTTTTTTTTTTTTTTTGTAGCAAATTATTGAGTGGCACAGGCTGCACCAGTCGTGGCCGCTCCTTTGTTCATGTGAATACAGCCTATAAAAAATTGATAAGTCAAATCAATATTAAAAACAATGAAACTTAGCTTAAACGAAATGTTAGCTCATATTTTTCTTTCACAGATAACGTAGAATTGTCTTTAAAGCATTTCTATGTGCAACAATCAGATCTAAGAAAAGCAGAAAACAAAAAGAAATCCTCAGATTGGATGATAATCAGGAATCAGAAACGCACTTCTGGCTGTTGTGCTGCTTTTAACAACAAAAGAGCTAATAGGAAAAAAAACACACACATACAGGAGATATCCAGCCACTGTTAAGCAGTGTGTGTGTGTGTGTGTGTGTGTGTTTGGTTACTTGTCAGCAGCTGATTGCCTTTTTAGCACCAAAGTTATGTTAATGAACACCGGTATAATATTTAATTCAGCGTTACGCAGAGTCCACGCCCTCCTGCAGGAGGCCAGCAGCCTCTCAGGGACACTGACACTTTTTAAAAAATACAGAAAATTAAGATCGAACATAAAGCCAGCAACTACCCTAAAAATAAATTAAATATATGCTGTCATTCGTCGTTTTGTGTTTTAATTATTTTTTAAAGTGCTAATATGTTGTTTTGGACTCGTAATATGAATTAAAATTGCCTAAAATATTTATATTTAATTCATGGTTGCTAATTAAATTTTAGAAAATTAAAATGTACAGTAAAGAGGAGTTATAAAAGCCAAAATATATACAACACACAAGAAAACTAAAAGTGTTTCAGGTTCCAATAAGTCAGACGAACATGCATCAGTCCAGACGGGAGACTTATTTACGGTTATTTGCATGAAGCCATTTGTTATAATCATTTCTGCACGTAGACATAATAACCTGAACTAAACTCTGAAGGAAAAAAAAATATCTGAATTTAGAAAATGTGTAATGAGGCATATTTCTTGACCTGTGAGTCACAGAGAAGTTCCCTGCGTGTATTAGCTTTTCTTTCTTTCTAATGCTTTCCAAGAAAAAAAATAGGAGCAGCCTGCACGAGTCTTCTCCGTTCACAAGTCCGTTAGAAAAAACATCACATTTAAGTGCAGCTGGTATTTTTGGTTTGGTATTTTTTATTTTTTTTGCCGTGGCGTGAAACTGTTTGCTGTGGATCGAATCAATATGTCGGCCTCTCAATCCACGGATACAGACGAAGGCTAAGGATATTATGGCTGCTTAGTTTAGTCTTTTATTGAACGTTGAGTTGTGCAGTGTTCTGGGTCGTGCACAAACAGCACATTTAGCAAGAACAAAGCCCAAACACAAAACAGTAACGAAGGGTTTTAAACAGTAAGCGACACCCAGAGAGGGAGAAACGAGGAAAAGTGGCAAAAGACAGAGAAAATATGGAATGGATGAATATTTAAAAAACATATACATAAATCCACCTGCTTCTTTAGAGCCTCGATCAGCTCCAGGAGAAGTGCAGGATTAGTGGAACACTTTATTGTACAGCCTTCATTGTCTTAGATGGCTGGGTTCTTAGATCGTGTAACCGACCAGTTTTTATGCAGTTTATCATTATTTCAGGACCTTCCCAACACAGGAAACACTGCGTATTATTTTTGTCAGATGGGATCTGGCAGACATGTGTTCATACATTCTCTGTGAACGTTTGTGAATCGTTAGTTACAGTCGTTACTGTGCAGCATCGGTCGCTGGTTAATGGTGTCCATCAGAGGAGGAAGTGGCCTGTAGGACGGATATGTGAGCCACTTTGGATGGGGATACTATACAGATCGTTCTGAACGCCTGCAGTGTGAGGATTTGTTTTTGAAGCTGAGTCTGGGTTCTCGGGTTTAGCGCGGAGCGGCCGGGGTCACCGAGAGGTCAGCAGGTCTGCTGCAGCCGCTCGTTTCCTGCTCTGCTTGCAAATGCCTGCACAGTTTCGAGCTGTTTTTTGGTTTTAGGTGGAGAAAAAAAATCTAAAAATAAATTGGGGTTCGTGCTTGTGTTTTTAGGAAGGTTTGGCCTCTTTGGTAAAGAATCTCATTTGACCGGCGACATATTACGCAAAGCTACGATACGTGCGTAAAGATGGAGACCTCATATAGCTGAGGCCTGGAGGCAACCACACATTGAAGAAAAGCTGTCTGTAGCAGTTGGATTGAAATATCTGTTTCATGCAAATCAGAGCATGCAAGTCACAGAACTCATGAATTCTCTGCGTTTCACAAACAAATTTTATTCTCGTGGAAAAGTCACATTTTTACGCAGTAACTCTTCCTCTGACGCACCTGCTCTATTTTACAAGCGACAAAAATGTTTGTTTTTTTTATCACCTTGTTTTCAGATGATGTTCATGTAGTTGGCTACGCGCCTGTACAATGAGCCCATTTTACCTCACTGCTAAATAAAAAAATAAATAAAATGTTCACGCATTGTAGACCATGTGTCGCCCGTTCAGTTAGCCAAGGCCTCCCCATACAAACACTATGGGCGCTGGGTTCAATCGGTTTTGTTTCATATTTAATTCAGGGCTCTTCATATTTTATCCGATTGCATATTTAATGGCTTCAAAACCCTGGACAAAGAGGAGTTCGTGTCTGGCCTGCGCGTCCACGCAATGTGATAAACACGAATAAATATTCTCGGCCACAGTGTTGCCAAAAATCCAGGATCCGGAGAGTGTGGTGTGAGGAGACGGGGATTTAAAAACTCGAAGCGTCCATGACAGCAAAATTAAAGTTACGTGTCGTGATTTTATTTGTTTATTTGTTTGTTTTTGGAGTAGATTGTGTCCCTGGGGCTTCTGGGTGTAGAATGGAGGGGAACGACAAAACGCGTCAGTCAAGAAGATCTAACTAATGTTTTTTAATTTCTTTGTAATTCTCAGAAATGTTGCATACTTTTGTAACTTCAGTGCTTTTACATATATATAAAATTTAGGATTATTTATTTATTTATTTTTTTGACACTAATAGAAGAAAACTGTTGTATCAATGTGAAAGCGTCTCCTCCACCACACGGGTACTGATAGATGCTCGCGGACAGATAATGACGCACAGCACTAATACTTGGAGTGGACGCAGCGCTCAGTGAAGCTCAGCTCTCCAACTCCTTTTTGTGCAGCTCGACTCATTGGAAAAGAGATGCAGTGCTCATAGGAGCAACCAGAATTTAACGAAAGGACACCAGCGAGTAAGAATTAACCATTTACGTGTATTTTAAGCGTCGAGGTGCCACATACGTACTCACATGGACGCGTCTATTTGCTGGAAACTGCACGTTTTCACTCTCTGGGCCTGTGGCTACAACCAAACTACACAAGCAGCAAAAGATTCATTTAGATTTTTTGTCAGTGGGGCAAGTTTTAACACACTTTATTCAATTTAAATTTGCATATTATTATAAGCAGATAAATGACTTTAAGCAATGGCTTCAAGACAGAATGATAAGAGTCGGACGTTGTTATTAACACTAAAGCAGCCACGACTGTAAACACAGATAAAGTAAAGTGCTGTTTTGCACACGCTTGGCTAGCTGCCTCTATACTAATGATAATAGAGGCTTTCTCCAGGTCTGCTAGCCTGTTAACTTTCTCTTGTGTTAAAAATAACACACACACTCGCCCATTCATCTATCCCCCCTCTAAAGCCATTAGCCTATAGCTCTACTCATAAATATTACATCAGCTCGACACTTTATAGGCCTATAGTCACTGCAGCCGTATAGACAGGTGTGTTTCTGTAGCTTAAACATGCTAACAAAAAAAAGGCTCAGTTTATATTCTAGCTTACCGCCAGCTGTAGGTGTGCAGTAATGAGTCGGAATAATAGCCTCAGTTGAATTCTTGACTCGCTTTGAACTTGTGCAGTGTCGCTTCTAAAACAACCCACCTTCAAAAATGCGCTGAGACGTGTGTTTCTGCCCTGGACAGACGCCAAAGGCACCATCCGGGAGATCGTCCTGCCGAAGGGCCTCGACCTGGACCGGCCCAAGCGCACGCGGACCTCCTTCACGGCCGAGCAGCTGTACCGGCTCGAGCTCGAGTTCCAGCGGTGCCAGTACGTGGTGGGGCGCGAGCGCACCGAGCTGGCCCGGCAGCTGAACCTCTCCGAAACACAGGTAAGAACCGAGCCGAGCTGACCGACGCAGGCCCAGTGTTTGGAGGGTGTTCCAATACAGTACACAAAACACAAAACCGGGTGCTTCATCGTAGTTTTGAAAGAATTCTGACCACATATTAATTTAAAAAATGTCGTTTTTTAGCTGAGCTAGCCGGTTGCTAGCTAACACGGGCATAGCTTATGGCACATTAAAATAATACGTGTGTCCTTTTGGGATAATTGAATACTTCCAGGTGGTTTAAATTAATATTAGCATATTCTTAATGGCTTCGTCGCAGGTGCATCCAGAGGCTTTAATTGGCTCCTCAGCCAATCAGAAGGCAGGAGTGGAAAAGCCCCGCCCAAAACAGCTTGGCGTCACTAATGGCGTTGTCTCAGGATGATTAGTATTATTTTTTTTTAGTTTGCCGGACCAAAACGGTTTTTTTTTATTTTGATTTTTTGGTTGTTGCCCTTTTATTGAACCGGATTCATTCAAAAAGGAAGGAAGGAAAAAAATAATCACCCATAAATACACGGCAGGGGCTTGTGTAAACCTGTCAGTACAGGCCTGAAGTGAGCAGTGAGGCCTGTCAGGCCAAAGCCACGCTCACGTTTCATCTGTGTATTTGTATAGTCTTGATAAATTATCTACCACAAGTCCGTTTTGAAACTTTTAAAATATGCCTGCTTACATTTATATAAAAATCTGTACAACAGCATGACTACCAAACCTAAAATGAGGCGACACCTCTCTGACACGTTCAACAAAGGAAGTTTCCATCATGAGGCTATGGATTGAATTGTGCATCAGCCGTCTGCATGTGTGTGACAGAAGGAGCCTTATTGTTGCATGTAATTTCGTTCCTATTTTGAGCAAGCACAAAAAAAAGTCTCTCAATACGGTGTATTTGGTGACATGATTTAATAATAAAAGCCACAGAGAAAGACAAAATCTAAATATAAAATGTCTGTTTGCAGCAGTGCGCCTTTGTGATGTAAAACTGCACACATTTCATGGCGCTCATTCATGGACCCTGTGCGCTTCATTCTCAAATCTTCCTGAAGCGCCATGAGCCCAACCCCTCTGTTTTTATTGTGAGCGTCACAGCAACATGGAGACATGCTGCAGGGATGCTTTCTAGCCAAATTACTTTCTTTATTCAAACACCAAAAGAAAGGTTTGGAGAATATTTTTTTAACCAAAGTTGACAAAAACACAGAATTTCAACATTTTGACCAACATGTAAAAAAATAAAAACGTTATGACTAGTGTGAGTTTATGGCAGTAGAGTGCACTATCCCTAAAATTCCAGATGCACTTTTAAAGCATATTCTTCTTTTAAAAACAACATTTTATTTAAATTTAGGATTTTTAAATGCATTTTAAAGTGTTGTGTGCCAGTGAAGGTGAAAACCTGCAGTCACTTAAAACCAACAAGTGTCTTACTGGAGGAGCCGCAGTCAATAAAAAATATATGTCTGTGTGCGCATTGGATATGTTAACATCTTCTCTTGAGCAAACAACTTGCAAGTCAGAGCGCCTGTAGCAACAGTTGTGTTAAAGCGAGGATGTAAGCCAGAGGGGTTGGTTTCACAACGAAATCTTCAAAAATAAATCTAGAAAATAGGATTTCTTAAATAAAAGTATCCCCAAAATGTATCCCGTTAATGTAAATGTGTAAGAATACGAGCAGATCAGCGCCAGGAGGCTGGTTTCGAGGCCTTTTGTGGGCGCTTCAGACGTGTAAAAACACTTGTTGCAATTAAAACACCGCACAGGAACTTTACGCATCATCACTGCGGGCTGTGAAGTAAACCAACTGTAATATCTAACGACAAAAAAGCCACTCAAACGTAGAGGTGGTGGGATGGAGGTGTGTGCATGTGTGTGTGTGCTTTTGGGAACACAGAGCAGCCACTGTGCCCCTCATTAGTGCTGACTCTAGGGGTGTTAATGGGAGGGCCTCAGCTTCCTGCTGCTGCTGCTGAGGAGACGCGGGGCAGCAGAGGATTGGCTGAATGAAAGCGTCGAAACAACTGCCTGGCCTTCAAGTGGGAACCAAATGTAAATAATAAAAGTGTCTTTGATAATGGTGTAAAATATTAAACCCATCGCGTTGAAATTTCTTAATGCTATGTGCTATTGAAGCAGCTTTTAAGCGTGATCGAAAGGCTTTTAGCTGGCATTAGTGGAGTTTTCTTTCTCATTATTATCTTCTTTCTATTTGTGGCGCTTGCATGTTTTTAAGCAAATGCGCCATTCAAGGCTAATCATGCACAGGCACAAAGGGAAGATGGGACCTCTCAAAGTTCTGGGCCCCTTTTAAGCGAGCTGTTTGGGCTGTTTTCTGGCTTTCAGGTGACTTATGTTGTTTGTTGATGTTTGGAGTTCACTATTGAAGGTTTTCACAGGTTTCACAGCAACTAATCTGATTTTTATGCCTAAATTAAAGACTGCTTGGCGTAAAAGCAGCTCCATTATAGCACTGTGGCATCTTTTTTTTTTCTTTTTGTAATGTAAAGTATCTATCTATCTATCTATCTATCTATCTATCTATCTATCTATCTATCTATCTATCTATCTATGAAAGCGAAATGGTTTGTGATGGAAGACAAACTATTTTATTAATCACTTGGCTGAGTTTGGAAGCTGGCAAAAGACACTGCGCTTTACTTCAAAGCAACAAAAGGCCTTTGGAACTTGGAGTAGCTTGGATAAGCTTGTTTTGAGTTTTTTTCGTTTTTCTTTTGAGCGCAATATTTTTTACGCAGTCGGAGAAACGGTTACATCCTAGATCCCGATTACGTTCCTTATTCCAAAATTTAAAAATTAACTTGTAATCTACTCAAATAAATTAGTCTGAAACTCACTGGCACTTTAAAAACCTGCCGCACAGAAAAGGCGACTTGCTTCATTTTCTCTTTAAAATCAAACTTCTCGCTGCGTCGCGCCAAACTCGTGCTCGACTCAGTTCTTATGTTTAATGCAGCATGGAGGCTTACATCGGATTTTTATCGAGTAAAAATCTGACCAAGTGTTCACTTCACTTGTTCTGAATCCAACTCTTAAACAAACTTTCCTTTTTCTAACATGTGAAAGTCTTTGGCACTATGAAAGCAACAGGCACATTTTCATACTTCATACAAACGCGACAGGCCTCTTTTATCTGTGACTGAAACACAAATACTAATTACAGTAACATGGGAGGTTTGATAGTTAAGTGTTTTTTAACAGGATTTGGTCATTGACCCATGCTCTAACTCCCATTAGTTTGGTCAGGTATTCAAACTGATCACGCAATGAGGCAGCAGACATTGGAAACACACCCGCACGCACATAAGTAGAGGGCTAAAGTCTTATTCAGCCAGACTTTAGAAAGACCTGTAGAAAATAAATAATTGGGAAATAATTTAGATTAATTTCCCCCCCACAAATCTTCTAAAAATAACAATTTTAATGACTCATGCCAGTCTTCATTATCTTTTTTTCTAATTTATTCGTCTCACTCGCCTCCAGAGTATCTTGCAAAGACGCACAGATCTTAAGAACTAAATTTAAATTTTGCTTTTTCTAAATTATGGTTTCCAAATGTATTTCTGGTGATGTTTAGCTCCAGTTTTACGGACATAAAAGGAGTGATTGAGAAACGCTTACCATACATTGTGCGCAATTCCTTCTCCAAAAACGTTTCTCTTGATTAAGGTTCAGTCACCAAGGATTAAGTCCAACAAACAAATAGTCAAACTGTTCAAAAAGCGAGACAAACACAGAAGAAAATAGTTTGTAAAACTGTCTGGAGCTCAGTGCTGTTGACGTGTGGGGGGTGTGGTGCGTATTCGGCGATGACATTAATAAATAGGTCAGTAAATATTTAAGATACGTTCGCCTGCGTGTGTTTACGTTTCTCGATCGTGATCCTAAACGTGCGTAAATGCGCAACGTTCATGCGTAAAGTTCATATTCAGCACTAATGTCGTCGATTTGCTCGATTAAACGAAAAATATTTAATAAGTAGTTACAACTTCGAGTCAAAAACAGTTTTTTTGTCTTCAGAGTTTAATTTCTAATCCAATTAAATTCTCATTGTAATGGCTTAAATGTCATACATTTAGAGAATTCAGTCCTATTCAAATATTTGCGCGTTCAAGTGTCCGAAAACGCGCGTCCACAGACGTGTTTTTGTCTCTTAGCTGCAACAGTATCGTGAGAAGAAGTCGATAACTCTTCTCCCTGACCAACTCGGAGCTCTCCCTTCATCCCGGCAGGTGGCTCCCCGCTACAGGGTAACACAGCAGGAGGGGGTGCTGTGCACACACGCACACACTCTCACACACATCACACACATGCATGCATGCAAACATGCAGAAATCCTGAACTAAAGCATGAGGGTTCCTGCGTTTCAGTTACCTTTATGATCGGCTTCCTCGTGGATGATTACAGATTATAGGATTGATGGACACTTGTAGATGTCCACCTTATGTTGTGAAGATGTGCAAGAGGAGGTTGGTTGTTCAGTGTTGATGTTGGGGTGTTAATCCTTGTCTGAAAAAGACACTGTGGGAGTGCACAGCAAGTGACTTTCAGCTAGTTTTCTTTTTAATTCTGTTCACTTTAATTACTTATTGTCTTTTTAGGGCCCTTTAGGTGGAATTTATTATGTGAATCCTGTTTCTTTCACTTTAACCCTCATGTATACAGACAAAAAATGCATTAAGCTACTTTTCTGGGAGCATTTCTCACAAGAAAAAAAACTTTCATGCTTCAAATGTCCTCCTGGTCCTGGCTGCAGTCTGACTTCAGGAAATTCCCATGCTGTGTGGCCACTTTAAGCTCTTCCTCAGTCCTCCAGCTGACGTAGAAGTTGTCATTGTATCAATCCATTGTTGCTCTCAGGCCTTCCATGGCAAAGCTATGGATTTAATGGTCGCTGTGCTGGTTAAACTGGTTTAATCCGGCAGCAAATGGGCGAGAGCTCAGTGATGAAATTATGTTTAATCTTTAATGTAAAGCTGGCA